ATTTTTCTATCTTGAAGGCATAGCCGTTTAATTTTTCTATCGGCAGTAGCACTTGTGCATTTTTTTCGGCCTGATTTGGCTTTATTTTCCACTGATTTCGTTTTTTCATAACGTAAACAGAACTTTCGTAATCTAGAACAAGTCACTGAACCACCAACTTGTCTTGTAATTTCAGCATAAGGGAGGCCATTTTCTCATAATATGACAATTCGGCTTCTTTTTGTAGATGTCCAATTAATTCTTTTTGTTGATGACATTGTTTAAAATTAGTTTCATTAAAAAAAAGAACTTTAAATATTCAAAAACATAAATACTCTATTTAATTGTACTAGTATGCATCATTCCGCAAAATATTTCCACAACAATAACTCTTTTACCAACCAAATAACCTAAACTATACTTACAGACATTTGATTAGTCCTAAGAACAGTGTCCCCTCTCAGAATTGTGGCGACATTGTCGCAGAACGTTACCAATTTCTTGCAGAAAGAATTTTCTTTTGGGAAGTAAAGAGTTTTTTTTTTCCCTGCAGAAATTTTCAAAAGATTTTATCTTTTCTTCAGAATTATATTCAAAATATGCCTTTCTCGCCTATCTGAGTGGAAAAAAATGCTTTTTCTTTTCTCATTTGTGAACGATGAAAAATAAAGATTAATGAAGTAAAAAATTTGGTTTTCTTTGATGCAGAAAAGTTCATTCAAATTTTTTTAATGCAGTTATTACTATTGATTTCCACATAGTTTTAAAATCAGATATTTTTAACATGATATTCTTTATTGCAACAACTGAATCTCGAAGTGAAAGCGCGCATTTAGTAACCCTTTTTTGAAGAGTCCTATTTACTCCTACGGATTTCACGATTTAATTTTTTTTTAATGAGATGATTTACAAAATGCGAAATAGGAAATATTAGTGTGTTTTCTCCCTACAAAATGCGAAAATATAGCCCATAACATTAGAACAAAAAAAAATATTACATATTTATTTAAAAAATTATTTTATTTCATCTGAAAAGTTTTTTTTTTTTGAAGATGATGCTTTTGTTACTTTAATAGTATGTATATTTGTTACTTTTAAAAGTATCTTGCAGATAGATATTAGTATTAGAGAGGTATGTTGCAGAAACCCCAAAAAATTCTGCCATGGGGGAACAGTGTTTAAGTGAAAATTAATATACTCTTCAAGCACTCTGGAGACTCTGGTTCGGCGATTTTGATTTTTAGCCGGGATGACTATCCTTAAAACTGGACTTTTAGTGACTTTAAAAAAAAATTTTTAAATCTCATGGTGGTCTTAGGTAGGATTTGAACTGTCCTCGTCATTCACACCATTTTAATCCACTTTTACTATTTCAACACTATTTTGATGATTTTACTATTTGTAACTCGTTTAATTGTTTCCTTAATAGGCAATTTGCCCTATGATTAGTTTTTAAATTTTATGCCATTTGATTGCCTCAATATAAGGGTCTGTTGACCTGGAATGGCAATTTATATTTTAATTTGCTTCTAATATTGCTGGTGTTTTAAATTTAATTGTGCTTTTAATCCATATTTTAGGGTCTGTTGACCTGGACTTTTCATGACATACATGCCAGATATATTTGTCAAGTTTTCTTAAAGATTTAATATTCTGACTAATTGTAGATAGCTAATTTTGTTCAAGAGTATTGTTCGCCCGCAAAGTTTACAGGCTGTTGCCATTTGACTTTTGTATCTTATGTATTTTATGCATTTTTTGTATTTTATGTTCTTTAATGTTTTTTTTACTTGGTTTTTAATAAACATTTACCCGTATGCCCTCAATTGGGGCAGGTCGGGGTAAATATTTTCAATACTCTTCAAGCACACAAAGTTGATAAACATGAAACTTTCAAAAAATGTCCGCATTTTTGGCCACCACTGTATGTGTATATATACACATATCTATATATATATTTCCAGGCGACAAAAAAAAGCCTCATTGCAACTCCCCGAATGGCAACGCTAGAAAAATCAACCAATGATTGCCGCTAAAAATTTCACATGCCAAATCTAGCTGAGGTGGCTCAACATATAGCGCTTTTAAAAACGAAAACTGGAATAACCTGAGAAAGCATCAGCTGCGGCAATCTCATACTATTGAGCTAAGCAGAAGTGAGTAGTCTTTGTCGATAGATCTCTATTTTAGTATTTTGTCGAAAGCGCTTTTTTTCACGAATTTATATATTACGAATTTATTTGACGATTTTTGATTTATATCACGAATTTATTTGTTTTATTATTGCTATTAGTTATTCATTGAAAAATGAGTCTCAGTCGTGCTGTTACGCTTTAAGATTTTATACTATAGCACATTTCTAATAGGTTTAACGAATTACATGTCATTTATCTGAATTCAAATTTATTTTAATGACTTAGTATTTACTAAAAAGATTTAATTTTTTCTTTTAAAAAAAGTTGTTACATGGATTTGAATTATTGTTTTGAATTCTTAGAATTTTGTGCATTTGCAATATACCTAAGTTAGTAGCGAGCTTTGTTTGTGAAGCAAACCATATAAAATTGCGTTGCAATTTTCGGGGGTTGGCGAGCATCAGCGAGCAGGGGGTGCAGCCCACTGCTATGTATAAATATATACACACACATATATATCCACATAGTCTTTTGGGCTACAAAATGATCGATTCCGCTACTTTTGGAGCTCCCATTCACTACTTTTCAATCATCAGTTCTGGCAACACTGCTGTGGTGTGTTTTTTTATTTTTAGTTTCTCCTGGTCCACTGACGAGAAGTTGACGATTAATCTGTGACGGATCACGGAAATCTCCTCCTTCTAAATCTTGGAGTTTTTTTAGCATAAATACCTACTAGGAATCTTCCCTAATATTTTTTCTCCCATTTTTAAGAAACAGTCATAAAATAAAATAATTTTTAGAATAATATAAACACTCTTAATATTTCCATATTTATTATAAGTAATAATAAATATGGATGAGGGGATATTTATATTTAGTGGTTGGTGCAGATGATTAATATCACTTGATAACTAAAGAATTATTTAATTGTTCTTGCCCTTTTTTCTGTCATATTTATGTGAATGAGTACTGTTATAATATTCAGTTAGCGGTGATATTGAGCAATATTATGATTTTAGGTTGAATGTTCTGAAAATCAATTTTTTCGAAAATGAGTTAACGGATTTCACTCCTGGATTTCTTAAATTTAAGTAATAAAATGTAAATAAGCCCTGTTTTAGTAAGATAAGTTTATTTTTCACCATCAAATTCAAAATTATTGAAACTTTTTACTTTCCTTTAATTTTTAATTTTCTTATGAATTAAAGTCTAGTGATAAAACCTGTAAACTGAAATTAAATTAATTAAAAAACAAAATTTTGTTATTTCTGATAATTTTTTTTACCTTTCCAAGTGCTTATTTAGTTTTTTTTTTATTGAATATGTCATTTTCTTTCCTTTTTTTTTATTAAATTATTACAAACATATTTTTGAACAAAAATGTTGTTCAATTTGTATTTTTGCATATTTATCAGAACATTTATTTAATTTTCACTACTTATAAAAGAGAAAAACAAAATTTAAAATGTATTTTAATTTTATATATTAGACCAGTAATATAAATTTCTAAACATAATAGCAAGTGTTAGGATTTTTTTCTTAAAGAAAAGTAAATTGTGATTATATATTCTTTATATAAAGGGAGAAATTTAAAGGTAAAAAAAATTTTTTTTTTAAATTATGCTCTTTATAATACTTTACTAATCTGCTGTAATGAAGTGATGTTTAATTGTATACATCTTTGTAGCAAAGCCCTATAATTAGAATGATAAATTATATTATGAATTAAATCCTAAAGATGGTTTACATTAAATTTGATATAAATGCTTCAGCTCTATGTTATTTTTTATATATATATATTGAAATCTATTCATGTTTCTGTATATTTATTTTGATTTCAGATCAGTCAGTGGAGCAATATCTGTCCGAAAAAAACATGGCCTTCATAAAGACTGGAAAAACAAAGATAGATTTGACAATTATTGGGTGCCTAGAAAAAGAGCCTTCACAGATGATAAACTCACTCTTCAAAATAAAGAATTTTTACAAGAAGTAATGCTAGAAAAATTTTTAAAACCAGGAGAAAGTCCTTTGAAAGAGAAGGAGACAATTGAAAGACCAAAATGGACTCCTGAGTATGCTTGATACTTAAAAAATCTTATTGAAACAGAATTTTTATATTTCAAGAGTGATATTAATTAATCTTTTAAATATTGCACTCAGCATGCTACAGCCTAATATTCTGGTCCGCTTATTATATCAACCTTTATACTAAAAAAGTTTTTTGTTTTTTTTAATATATTTAAACTTTACATGTAAAACAAATCGTCTGGTCGTACATTGTTGAATTTCATTAAAAAATTGAAGCAAATCTGAAATGACAGTTATGGAAACAATGTTACTCTTTCTTGTGTTTGTTTTCGCACTATAATTACACTATTTTATTTATTTTTAATCACAGTGAATGGGATTAAACATTTTTAATTGAAAGAAGCATTACTATAAGAATAATAAATAATGTTAATGAGTTTCCCCCCTCTTTCTCTTTGTGTTTCATTTATCCTATATCTTGCTGATCTTTATCGAAATTTAAGGTGATGCCTTTTCCCTGTATTTCTAATTACATATTTATGTGGTGACATGACATGATATTTATATAGTATATGACAATATTTAAATAATTTAATTTAAATATTTTGATTTAAATCACTCGATTTTTTTTAAAAAAAAATTCATTAATTCAAATCAATTGATTTGTTTTTATAAAAAAAATTATAATTTGAGTTGAAAATTGTAAATCTTTTTTATAATAATTTGTAAGTATTCGTGAAGTTGTATTTTTTTAAAGTCTGATTCATTGATATTAAAATTTTTATTTAGCGAAATAATGAGAGGGTAATATATGTTTATCATTGTTTAATGCTCAAAATAATCATTAAATAATGATAAGTGTAAATCATAATAAAAAAGTAAGACTCAATATGGATTGAAATTTGTAAAAATTTTAAATTAATATTATCCATTAGCTATATATAAAATAATTGGCTATTAATAAACATATGCCAATTGTACCAATTTAGTTTCATGTTCATTTAAATGCAAATGCTTTTAAAACTTAATGTGTAGTTTCTTTATAAGTAATGAAGAAGAAATAAATTTCTGCCCAGAGTAATATAGAATAATTAATTTTTTTATGCATCCTGTTCTATGTTAATTTATAATTCATTTGATATCTTACTGACAAATTGTATCTTTGTATTTGCAAATTCATAAATATATTGAATAAAAACAACTGTGTTAGCTTGTAATAATTATTTTAACATTTTTAGTCAGATATATTAACAGGAGTCTGTCTAGGTTTTTTTGAGGGGTACCTATTTTGTGAAAATTTAGACATAATTTGTGAAAAATACAAAAAAAATAAAATTTTAAGAAAAAGTATTTTGTGAAAGTACCGTTTTTCCTGAAATTGAATTTGTGAAGGTACAGCTGAACGGTTGTAAATTCGGCCTGGGCAGACCCCTGATTAAGTACATTAGTTATAATAGTTTTTTAAAACGCCATTAAGCAATATTATAGCTTTGGTTTGATGTATGTAAAAAAAAATTCAAAAAATGATTTAAATAAAAAACAATCTTTGATGATTGATTAAATAAAGGGTCAAAAGAAGCAGTTTAGGGTAAAGAATTTTAATAATTTCTTAAAATTTACCCACATAACAATTACAAAGCACACAAAAAAGTTAAGAGTTGGTATCAGTCGAAAATCTTTACCTCTATTTAATGAATATAGAGAGAGTGAGAGTGCTGATCATTTGGGTAAACTACTAATTACAAATGTGATTTTTTTTTAACATAATCTAGATTTTTACCAACGCTGAGCTCGGGTATATAGTACTACAAAAAAATTATGTGTTGCATCTTTTAGAACTTTATTTTGTTAATCTTATAGGAAGGATATTTTGAAGTAAATATAAGTAATTATGCCACATTTTTTTTTGGGGGGGGGAGGTATGCAGCATTTTAAATTCTAATACAAACAGAGATTTTCTATAATATAAATATCGATGCTTCAAAGTTAAATGCAGAGATACTTTTAAAAAGTCAAAATTTAAATTTTTTTTTTTTAAAATTAGTTTTCTATGTCATGAAAGAATTCTATATCTAATTTATTCTTTCTTCACCTATACACCACCCTTCTGTGCTGAAACTATTGATGATAATTCATAGAAATAATTTTTTTCTTTTATCTCTGCAAATCTTAATGAGGACTCTTAACATTTTTCTTGGTAGATTTCTAGAGCTGTTACTGAATTCCTTATGCAAATTATATTTCTTCACCTTAAATATCTTATTAAATGCTGCTTCCTCTTCTTAATCATTATTAAATCAATGTAAATTAAAGTCTTTTTTTATATATATATATCCATTATGTTTCTGCCTAATCAATTGTATGGGTATTGGTAAAAGCATTCCTTGTATTTCTAAGATTTATAAATCTAACATTTAGAACTTTGAGTTTTGATTCCCAAGTCATACACATTAGTGTTTCGATTTTTGTATTGAAATTTTAGACGCTTTAAGAAATTCATGATTGAATGGGAGAAGGAGGTTTAGGTTACGCTTTATATCATTTGCTGAAAATATTTCAATTTATTTCTTTGCTTGATATTGCATCTCACAGTTTAAATAATTATATATTATAATGAATTTTATTGTCCATTTTTAGTGTTTAATTTATTTTCTTGCCTACTTTAACCCACTGGCGGTTAAGGAAATGGGCAAAATTGGGAGAATGTTTCTCCCCTACACACAGTTCCCCTATCAGTTAACATGGGAAAACCGGTTTTGCTATGCAGAGAAGACTGCAGGTTAAAATGCGACTTTTTACGTGCAGAACCGTCAGTGAGTTAAATAAATAATTGATTGAATATCTGGTTTTCTCATTGTATTTGAAATTACGAAATTATCCAGCATTTACCTGTAAAAATTTATTCTATCAGTTCAACAAGTTATTATTGTTTTTCTTAATATAATTATTTATTTATTGTTTTTTATTCAGATCTATAAGAACCGGTGTCATAGCACGGAAAATTGGTATTTATCCATTGTGGACTAAATCTGGCCAAAGAATTATGACAACTTTGTTACAGGTATCTTCTTTTTTTTTAGGAATTTATATATAATGTCTTATAACATGAAATTTGTCAAATTACTGGACCATGTCTTAAAGTACAAATCATGCAACAACATTTTTACCTTAAATTTATTTACGTATCGCACAAATTACAACAAATGATCATTTTTATTCTTATCTTGTTACTAATTTAAATTAATATTTTTAAATGATAACTTACCATAATTTTCTGCCTGCAGAATTCATAATGAGTTCTATGTTTCTAATAAATTAGATGCACACTAGCTGGCCTCATTCAGAGCTTGCTAGGCTCTTGAATTAAAATATAGCTCTTCAGATATTTTGTTACCTGTTAAAATATTTAACATGGGTAATTATAACAAGAATATAGTTCAACTTGTTTGTTTACATGAAAAGTAGCCAACATGAGGAAAAAATTTTGATGGTTTTGTGGCGTTTATGTAATATAGATTTTTGGAATTATTTACTACGAATTATTGAAATTTTAACAATTTTAGTTATAAATATGAATACTTATTTAGTAGAAAAATGAAAGTTTTGTATGGTATTCTGAATAATTTTTTAATTGTAGGTTTTAGATAATCATGTCATCAGGTATAATCCTCCTGAAATATTTTCTCAGTCAAAATATTATGATGATTGCAAAGACCCATCTAAGGTTTATGGAAGTTTAGTTGTTGGTGCAGAAAGTGCCGATCCACAATTGGTGAGAAATTTATGATACTTAAGTATATCTATTCAAGGTAAATGGAATAAAAAGTGGCTCTTTACTGTAGCTGTAAACATCAGATTAATGGAAACACTCACTTCAAAGTTAAGATACAGGGTGATCCAATATAGCTGTTACTAACTTGGAGAAAAGCACATCATAGCAGTTACAAACTGCAAAGCATAATAAGCATCCTAATTTCATATTTTCTAGAAGTTGTTAAAAATTTTGCTCTGAAATTGCTTAGACTTTGCCCAAAAAATTATGACCCAAAAACACAATGGTCCCCAGACCGCGGACCAGAATTGGTCCATGAATCAAATGGTACTGGGCCGTCCAAGGGACATTAAATTATTTCCATTTTATTTACTTTGTATTTCTCTTAGGTTTGTGTTGCTTTCTATGAACGAGAGGTTAGCTGGGAGCTGAAATAAAACTTAAAACTAAAATCTGTCATCTAAAGCTGCACCCATATCGCACATGTGACTGTATTTTGTTTCGAAGGCATGCTTAAATGCAACTAAATTAAAACCATCTAAAATATAATTAATTATTGTCTGCCCCCCCCTTCCTTCAATGGACCGTGGTAAAATTATCAAACATTGACCGGTCCATGGCAATAAAAAGGGTTGGGAAGCAAGTAATTAAATGATTTGACCACCAGCCTGACAATCACAAGTTACTTAAAGTCACTATTTCTGGACCTATTTAAATATAATTTTTGACAATAATTACTAGAAAATATGAAATAAAGATAATTTAGATAAATAAGAGTACTATTTAAACTATGCACAAACAGCCAGTTCATAATAAGAAAGCATCCCTAGCTCCTGATGTGAGCAATTATTATGTTTTGCTCTACTCAAGTTTGTAACTACTGTACTAAATCACCCAGTATAGATGTTAGTTAGATGGGACAGTTTGTTAAATTTGAATAAAAAGAAATCATTTCTCTGGTGTGCATTAAAACACATATTGCTTAATTTTTTTATACTTAAAGCAAATTTTTTTTTCATAATTTTTGGTAACAAAAATTTATTTTTACTTTTAGGATTGTAAGTTTAAGATAATTTAAATAAGCAAAACTGAAAAAAAGTTTGTGGAGAAGAATCACTGGCTATAAACATTATTATTCTCATTAGCAATAATAAAAAATTATGTCATCTGCTTTAGCAAAAATAATGATGGTATTTTGTAAAAACAATTGAAAATTGTGAAAATGATTTTTCTTTTCTAAATCACGTTTTTAAAAAATTGATTCAATTAAAAACTTTTTTCTTCCTTTCCTGTACATTCAAAATATTAATTATAGAATCAAATTCTGATTATAAGTCTGACTGCTCCAAAATGCTTAGATAACAGAAGCTTGAATTATTGTTATGATTAATTTGTCATTTCTTATTTATTGTATTAAATCAACTGGGGATGTTATTTATTGCAATAAAATAACTGTAGGTATTAATTGTGTTAAATTCTTGATGTTGTAATATTACTGGAAGGACTCAAAGTACAGCAGCATAAAACAGAACATGTTGTCTTTATGAAATTTTATTGAGAAAAGGTAAAGGTATAGATTACACACAATGGTTATAGTATACGAGTTTCGGCGCCATCTATTGACGTTAATTTGAATTGAGGAATATTAGAGACGGAACAATTACAAAATATTTTTTTATTCTTGCTTCCAGTTCACTGCTGCTTATAATGGCTTGTTTGCAGAAGCTGGTGTCATGCCAAAAAGAAAATTGACCAGATTCCGTATAACTCCAGACGCTAAGCTTGAACCTGGTAAATATAATATGGCTTTTCAGTTTATTTTAAATCTTATTGGGAAATTTTTTTTTTCAGTTTTGTTTTATTTCATTCTATTTTATTTCTTATCGTTTTTCCTTGGAAGAAATTAATTTCAACTGGTATTTTATTTTAATTTTCTTTTAAATCTCAGGATATATGAATTTGTTTTTTATGTGCTTTACAGGGGTGCCAATTGTACAATTTATTTTTAATTCTTAGGATTTCATAATGAAGATTGCAATCTTTAGGTTGAGTAATTAAATTTACAGTTTTTGAAAATTTCTGTAATAATTTGTTCAAAATGAGTTTTCCCTCCCTTAACTACCAAGAGTTGTGAAATTTTGTTGTGTGCAACTTATCTATGATAATTTTTTTTCTACCTCCTAAGCAATTCTAAAAATAATTATTAAAATACAAAATTGATTTTATCAAAATAAGAAATAAAATAAGGCAAAGAAATCCCTCTTCCAATAAGCTATTTTGAAACTTTATCTTTGCACTTTATAGAAAAGCAAAAAAGAACACGGGCTTAAATCTAAAATGCTGTGAGCAAAAGTTGTTTGTGTTTCAAATGCAGGATGATAGAAAGCTTGGGCTAGTTCTAATTTAATCAGAAACTGGAGCATTGATTCCAAGTGATCAAAAGAGTCACTTTTCTTTTATTTAATAATAAATCCATGCATAATTCCTTTAATATTATATACCTATATGGAGTTAAATAGTATGTCAACATTAAACTTGAGCTAATTCGAATTTTCTAAATGCTTTCTGTATATATTTCTGTGTTATTGTACTTCTGTTTTCGAATTGTTAGTTAGAAAAGTTGATACCTCTGATATAAGATAATTATAGAATATCTCATAATAATGATGAATATGTCTTCAAGAAACGCTTCTACTCTGGTTTTCAAAACTTTCATGGAATTTCAATGTGCAAACTCTGTGGATGGTATTTATTTTCTTCTGCAATAGAGCAAGAAAGGTTTAAATTGCAAAATTTAGCATTTTATTATATTTTTAAAAATCATGATAAATGATTCGGATATTTTGATAATTGTGCAGACTGTAATACACTAAACATGTTTATTTCTTTAATGGAATTTGGAATAAAAACAATTTAAGCTGAGTTCTTGCAATGATGAAAATTTTTTGAACTTCTCCCAAAAGGATTTTTACAAACCTACACAAAGGATAAAATGAATCTAACACATAAAGTCTTTTCTTTTATGTTACTTACAGAAATATTTTCATACAGGTTTTATCTGTTTTCACTTTAGATGTTTAGCATTTTAGTATAATTTCTTATTTAATCTCATTTCCATATGCATGTATTAATATAGTATTTTTCTTTTATTATTATTTAACTTTCATCGTCTTGCAGGTACTCCTTTGTTCGCCAATCACTTTGAGGTTGGTGATTATGTTAATGTCCGAGGCATTACGTAAGTTAAATTTAAAAATTTTTAAATTCAATAAATGTCAATTAAATTGAAATGAAAAAATAATCATATGCCTTGTGCTATTTTGTCCTTATATACTATTTGGAAATGTATGAATTGTCATATACTATTTTTCTTATAGATTTAAAATGTGTATATCACTAACGTAATATTAAATAAGCGTAAAATTTTAAGACTTGTATTGTTTTTATCACTTCCATAATTTCACAGAGTGGTATTACTACTTTAAATATGATATGTTACATTTTTACGATAAGCTAAATAGAAATAATTGAATGCTCAAAACAATTATATTAACTTTGATGCTAACTGGACCAAATTTTTATAAGAGATTCCCTGACTGCAGTTAAGTGTTTCCTTCTTTCAATTTTCTGACTTTTAGAATCACACCTTTTGTAGCATTACATCTAAAATTGTGATGTTTCTCGTTAATAATGCAATAGTGATTTATTTGAAAAAATTTAGAAATGTGAAGCTTTTATCAATTTTTTTCGCAAATAGCTTGCATGTTTGTTTGTGGGAGGCAGATATTACCACTTTCCAACTGGCTAGAGTGCTCAAATTTGAATAAGAGCTTCTGTTTAATGACAATACAGTTTTCCTGGTTGCTACACATAAAATTTATTATTGATCACTCTTTGCAACAACAACAAAAGGTGACACACTGAAATAAAAAAAAATATATGATTTTCAAGCTTAGCTATTTCTAGTTCTAGTGAACTAAAGTTATTTCTAGTGAACTAACAAATAGAAAATTTTATTTCTATTATTCATAAAATGAAAACTTGAGGGACAGTTGTTTCACTGGAATCAAATTCTACCATCACCTAAAATTTCCTCATGTTTTTGGGAAATAGTGCATCTTTCATTTTTGTTTTTAATATTGCAAAAATAATTTTTTTTTTCCCTGTTATATTCCACTTCAAAATTGTGGCTTTGAACTTATTTTTTGAAATTAGAAAAATATTAGTAAAAAATGCTTTTCACTTCTGAAAGAATTTCTAAAACTCCAATACATTACCTATTATTTCTGTATTATTTAAGAAATTTTTTTATTCAGCACTATTTTAACCTCTATTTAATGCTACATTGTTTACAGTAAAAAATTTTAAGATCTTTATCATTGCACAAAAGTTATAGCAATATAATAATTGTTAAAAATTAAGCATGTAAAAATAATAAATATTTAACTATGGTAATATAATAATATAAGGTATATGAAAGCAATAATTTCTATTGATACTATCAAAAGCAGCTTTGAAATCAATAAAAAGATTGTGTTTCAATGTTAAATTCCATTGACTTCTCTAAAATCTTACGGAGACAAAATATTCTATCTTTATTTGATTTCCCAGCATGGAATCTACATTGATATTTTCCTATTTGTGAGTCAACGAATAGTAACAGCCTGAGAAATAAAATTCTAGATCGAATTTTATAAGTTAGGCAAAACAAACTAATGCCACGATAGTTGGTACAGGTCATAGGATCTCCTTTCTTGTGAGTAGGAGACAAAATGGTAATATTCCAATCCATTGGCATAATCTCAGAGTTTCAGGTGTCAGTAATAAGTTCAGATAAATTCCTCAATAAAACAGGTTCACAATTTTTTAGTAGTTCTGCTGAAATAAGATCATGTCCCGAAGCCTTCTTAATCTTTAAGTTTGTAAATGCAGCCCTGATCTCCTCAATAGTTGGAGCCTCAACTTCTATGTCATTGCTGGATTTGGGTGCAATTATTTCAACATCCTCACAATATTCATTAAGAAGTTCATTAAAATGTTCGCACCGTCGTTTTAAAGTGTCCTGTTTATCAGTAATAATTTCACCAATTTTGTTTTTGCATAGACTAGAGGTCTGTTTAAAGTTCAGTCGACTGCAGTTAATTTTCCGATAGAATGCTCTGCATTTATTAATGGATTTCAGATGTTCAGCATCCTTAAACAATTCTTTATCAAAGACTTTTCTTTTGCCCTAAAGAGTTTATTCAGATCTTTTCTGCATCAATACACTATTTCTTGTGTGTGCTTGTATCATATGTTTACACGCAACATTCCTTTTATCATTAGCAATGACACAATTAACATCATACCAATCCTTAACCTTTTTCTTAGTTACTTTACCAATCACGGTATTGGCAGCGACAAATACTGTCTTTTATACATATCAATTTATTTTCCGTGCTATCGTCACAATTCATTAAATTCAACTATTCCTTTAGTTTTTCGCAAGTCTTTTAAGTTTATCACAGTCATGTTCTCTCAACGTTTTTCCCTTGAACTTCTTTGCGTTTGATAATTTTAATCTGACTTTAGTTATTATCAAGAAGTGATCTGAATCCACATTAACCGTATGATAAGCCCTCACATCCTTCAAATCTGAGTAATGTCTTGCATCAATTAGGTTAGCATGAGTGCCACATGGTTGGTAGCTTTGTGAATATTTTTATATGGAAAGGACGTGCTTCTTATAATCATATTATGTGAAGTGGCAAAAACAATTAATTTTCGTCCATTATCATTAGTTGTATCAGGTAAACCGAATCCTCCAGTTAAAAATCTAAATTCCCTTTCTCTACCTACTTTAGTATTTAGATCCCCCGAAATATTTTTGATATCATATTTTGGACAACTGTTGTTGCTTTTGTTTAAATTTTCATAAAAAGGTATCTTATAATTATAAATGTTTAACTATGGTAATATAACAATTAGGTATATGAAATCAATTAAAAAAATAAAGGACCCTAACATTGTCAATTGTTTATCTTTATCTCCACGCTAAAGACTTATTTACTTTTTGCATTTCTAGTTTCTCCCAGCCCAATAATTGTTATACAGTACAGAACCCGTTATCCGGAAATCAGAAAACCGGAACGAAATTTGATAAATTTTCTCACCATCAGGGTGCGTAGCGTTTGTAAAAAGTACTTAAAGGTGCTTTTGGGGGATTTCGTTTTTAAAAGCTTTTAAAGGTGCTTTTTTCAGCTGGAGTTTTTAAAAAGTGCTTTTTTTTTTGAATAATTTTTTTCCCTCTTCAGTGATATCTGGTGGATCCCATGCATTTCACGAAAAATGGGGAGTTTGCTACGTAATCATTCACGCGGACTTCATGTCGTACCCACGTTATGACTTGCGCATGCGCGCACACTTGAAACCGAAACCCGAGTGCTCCAATTCGGATAGAGAATATCAGATCCTTATGAAATGTTTTTCTTTTTAATTTATTTTAATTTTGTTCTTGTTTATTTTATTTTACTTCTAACACTTTTTTTGACGTAGGGGGTAAGGGTACTTTTGTTCTGAGTTCAGGGTCAAGTTGAATTCACTCGGTGATGTGGGAAAGTACTGATTGTTTCGATTTACGCCCGTTTCTTTTTGGGTTTTTTTTAACGCTAAAACTGTTTATAAAAAGTTTTTGTTTTTCAATAACATCATTGATTTAATAAAAAAAATTTGAGTGCTTGAAAATTTTTGTAAAGTGCTTGAAAAGTTTTTAAAAAATGCTTATTTTTGATTCAAAGATTTGGCTTCGCACCCTGACCATTTTTTTTTAAAAAAAAGTTTTTTTCCTCTTAAGATTTTACGATTTTGCTTTCTTTTTTTTAAAGATGTTTACCTTACCATCATTTTGGAAATAATCATTAGTGCATTACTTCATTGTTTTTTCTTATTTTTAAAATTATTTCCAATTTTTTTTTAGTTGGGTTTAACAATAAAAAACGGCTTTTGTAGCGATTCAAAAAACCGGAAAAATCAGTTATCCGGAATAGCGATGGTCCCGACCATTCTGGATAATCGGTTCCCTACTGTATAATGAAGATCTTTTATAATATATTAAAGAGCTTGTGTAGCAGAAAGATTAGGATAGTTTGTATATCGAAACCTGTGATTTTTCAGTGTTTATACTGAATTCAGTAATTTCTTGAACTCTTAAAATTTTTTGTTCACCATTAAACTTCCAATAAAATATTAATCAAAAACTTTGTTTTAAATATATTTTAAATTAGGCTATTAAATCCATATTATCTTGGTTGTAGTGTTTTTTTATTATTATTATTCTAATTGTTCATATATCAATGTTATTTTTCCAAAGTGATGTTAACTTAATGGAATATTATCAAGAATGGGCCATATATGGCAGTGGGCATGAAATTAAGTCAGGTAAAAATATAAGAGCACATTTAACGTTTAATTTAACAAATTCTTACCACTTTCATTTGCTATTTTGCATCATGATGACGATGCAATAAACATTAGCATAAATAGCATTTATATGGTAAGTTTTCTATTTGTTTAATCAAGTAGTTATATTTACTCCATTTTATGAAGTAGTTTTATATTGAAAATTTTACATTTAATTGTAAAAAAAACAAACATATTTTATGACTTAATGCTGGGTTTGCAGAAACATACAATTAATTTGTTATTTTAATAATAAGAATAATTGTCATTTTATAAAACTAAGCCACCCTATTGACAAATAAGAGGATATGCTTAAAAACTCTAAAGAAATTATAAATTTTTTTAATTTATTTTAAACAAAGTATTTTGTCTTTTATTTATATTAAGGTTAGAAATATAATCTTACAGGCGATATCATGGTTTTCAAGGTGTGATGAAGAGATGGGGTTTTAAAGGAGGTCCAGCAACTCATGGCTGCACAAAGAGTCATCGCAGGCCTGGCTGTATTGGTGGTGGCGTAAGATACTTTTCATCTCTAAATATTTTTAAATCAGATTCAAAAATTAAATTTCGTACATATATTTATTTGTAGAGAAAGCGTGGTGTCTGGAAAGGTAAAAAATTACCTGGACTCATGGGTGGATATGCTAGATTACAAAGAGGATTGAAGGTGAGAAATATTTATTTAATTTGTTTGAATTATTTTAACAAACTCAGTAAATGAAAAGTATACATGACATTTCAAAATTTCTCAATTTTGTTATTTCTCTTTTATATAGTTAATTTTTTTCAAAAAATATTTATTTGAGCTTATAGTTTAAAACTATAATTTTATTAACCTTAATTTGGAACAGTATAGCCATATTTTTTTGGCTTGGTTTATCTGAAAACTGTTTTAAAATGGTTCAAGGATTTAATGGCTGTTTAGTAGTAGCGCTTTGCTGGTATTTATCACTTAAGTGAAAATTCCGTAATTAATTTTAAAATTGTTTTTTTTTTTTAAATAACGTTGGTTTGAAAAACAAAGTTAGAAATAAAGGTTGAACTAAGACTGAATAAATATATTTTTTATTGGTTTTAAATAAAATAAATAATATAACACTGTTGTAAAATATTAAATATATTAGTTTTTTTAACGTATAAATTAGCAAATTTATACAAAGAGGGAAAAAAATTTCACTTCTCTTTGATTCACACTTATTGCTCACAGAGTACTCCATAATTTAGATTGTCACTTTACAAATTTCAAATCTTGTAACACTCATTCAAACTAGTGCATTGGCACTCTCCTTCTTCACATAAATAATGCCATGTGAGAGGTTCTCTAAAATTCTTCATTGACTATTTGTTGCCAAATGTTCTTGTATCCTTCTTCCACTCCCAAAACATTCAGAAACTGTCACTTACACCTCTCATCCATTTTGGTATTAAAAAGCTTTTCAAAATAAACAAATGTTGAACAGTTAAATAAGAACTTTCTCCAAGAAATTTAAATTTTTCGAAAATGTCAATTACTGTTCATCTACCCAGCTTGTTAATTGCTACCTCAGTTAATACATAGTGTCTGCAATGTAATTAAAGTTTGATAACTGATTTTATTTACACTTGTAACTTAACTTACTACAAAACTGACCACAATTTGTTTCAAAATTGTGTGCTTTTTCCTAGAAAATGAGGATTAAACAAGACAACTCCTTCCTACAATCACAGGAGAGACAATCCGTAGTTTTTTATTATCAGATCATAATTATAAAAAAATGTTTACATTATTGTTAAATTTTAACTAGTAAAAATATTTCAAATAAAAAATTGGAAGTTCGTTGTATGAAATATTTTTATACTCTAAATAAAAATGACTTACATTCACATACTGAATAATATACAGTGAAACCTCCAAGAAAGTTCACCTTTATTTGCTATCATTTTTGGGAAGCATAGAATTTTTTTCCGTAGACTTTGTGTTGAAGAAAATCGTTAGGAGAGACCATTAAAACCTCCCCCCTGTGGCAGAATTTTTTAGGGCTTTTTGCGACAAAACTCTCTAGCACTAATGTCTTTCTGCAAAATACAACAAATATAAATGTTACTTATTTAAAGTAACAGAAGTTCTGCGTTTAAAAAAAGAAAAAAACTGTAGATAATTTTTAACTGAATGTGTAATTTTTATTTTATTTTAATATGAGCGATATTGTTGCATTTTATTGAGAGAAAAACAAACTAATTATTTTCTTTTCGCATTTTATGAATCGTCATCACATTAATGGAAAAAATCCGTAGCAGTAATTACCGAAATAAAATTACACGACAAGATTACTGAAATCCGTATTTCATTTCGAGATTTGGTTGTTATAATAAATAATATTATATTTAAAATATCAGATTTTAAAAACTATGTGGAAATCAATAGCTATAATTGCTAAAAAAATCAATATAATCATTGCGTTAGAAAGTAAATACTCAAATGTGCGATTCGAATTTCTCATATTGTCTGAAATATATTGGGATATTTAAAAACCATGTGAAAATCAATAACTGCCGAAAACACAATCAAAACACTATGTTGATTTACAATACTGTTAAGTTGAGCTTGTCAAAAAGTAAATATTTAAATAGACGATTCAAATTGTACATGTAGAAATAATATTAACTGATAAATGTAATTTTAAAAACCTTGAGGAAATTGGTAGCACTAGCAGCTAGCAGTTAAAGCCTGAATTAGCTGGTATTCTAGGCTTTACTAGCAATAGCTGCCGAAAATGTTTTAGCAATAATTATCAAACATTTAAAATATTGACTACAATATTGTGAACAATTTAAACACCGCATGAATAAACGATTGATATCGGCATAAACCGAGTGTGTTAAAGAGTGAATTTTAAGATCTACCATTTGAACTTCCCATGCCTTAATATTATTATAAAAAAAGTTTTTAAAATTTTTTTTAGAAAAATACGAAAATATCAATAATAACTATGATGTTAAAAAAAAAAAAACTTATAGCAATATTTATTGAAAAGAATGATCAACACACTACATATATTAATGATGGAATCAACGTAAGTTGTGAGCGCTGATTAAGTGAAGTTTCAAATGTGTGATTTAGAATCTTCATGTGTGCAATATATTAAAAATACTAGATAGATTTAATTTTAACCAAATTTGCTAAATTTTTATTCCTTTGAAGCTCTTTTTTTAGTGTTTATTGTAAAAGAAAAAAAGCTTCTACCTCAAGAAAATTTTATCAGTTCTTTTCTTACAATTAATTACAACTAGTTATCAATTAATAAACTCTTAATTTTGAAATATTTAAATTTTTTCAATACCAATTTATAGTTACATTTTGATGTTGCATAGACCATTTACGCTTTGAGGAAAGAGTTTTTTTAAAAATTGGGGAAGGTTGGATACTTGACATTTTTGATTTTGTTGAAATATTCACATTTGGCATGACCTTAAAGTAGCAAGAATCTGAAAATAATTTTTTTGCTCAACTTTCAAGGTTATTAATAGCCTAAAGCAATACTACACAAGTATGCAAAATAAGTCTTAAGTATAGTAGAAATAAAATCAATGCACAGATCTATGGTTACTGCTTCACCCTTTATATAATATAGCCTTAAACTATGCAGCTTGTACCTGAGAAATTAATTACAGAAATTATGGGAAAACTGTAAATTGTTTTAGGGGGATGTGGCAAAACACATGTACAGCACCGAGGCAAGCAATATATTTCCGATGCAATTCTTTACACTGAATCAAATGAAATCTCACCCTAGTTGACATAACTAATAATTAAGAAGTTATTTAAGTTTTATATAGAAATAGGGGAAATTTGACTAGTTCATATTTATGTGTTCCTGTGTATTTAATAAAGAAAATGACATGAACGCTTGTTTACTAACAGTTAAAAAATACAATAAGATTGATTTATGTATAAAAAATACAATTATATACTTTTTTGCATTTACCTACTTTAAATGCCCTCAAAACCTTAAAAAAATTTTTCACTGAAGTAAAAAATATCAAGTATCTAAATCTGGCTGACTTTTATAATGAATTTGGATAAATTTCGAAATTACAGAAATGTTTAAAATATTTATTTACAGATATGGCGTATTAATACAAAATATAACGTGCTATATGTTCATGGACCTGCTGTGCCTGGAATTATAAACAATTATTGTATAATTTACGACTGTTATATTGAGAAGAAATGTCACACTGAGGATGATCCCCCTCATTTTCCTACATTTTTTCCTGAAGATATGACAGAACCAGTAACTGAAAACTTATATGACGAACAGCTTCATAATTTTTCTGATCCATCCGTAACATTTGAAGATGAAGAAGCTTCAAAATCATAGGAATCATTGTATTTATCAAAAATATGTGTTCAGTTAATTTTTATTTTGAATAGTTTGTAATTATTTGTCATTCATAATTAAATTAGTTTAAGATTTTATTTGACTGGTCTAGCTTGACCCACTCTGTGAGTTCATTTTTTTAAAAAATTTAGCTGGATGAAAAAACTGTCAGAATCAATTTTTTATTATAAAGGATTTTATTTTATGTAAAATGCAGGAGTAAAAATATTTTTATTACACTTTTATTTCTCTTTCTACAACGTTTAAAATAAAAAGTCAAACTAGATCATTTTAGAATGGTGATAAATGATTTAATTTTCTTGACTCCTAAAATCTGTCTGTTATTAAATTAAGTGCATATTTTGTTATTGCATTAAACATTTAACTTAGCAAAAAAGCCAGTTTTTTTTTTGGTATTGTGTGTTGATGAGTCTTGCTGTATTTTATTGATACAAAAAGTTTCTAAACTGCGCATAGAGAATCATTTATTTGAAGGGCGGGAAATGTTTTTTTTGTTAAGCTACTTTAAAATACCGCCTCTCCAAAAAGAAAAAACATAGCAAGTACTTTAATGGAACAAATTATTTACAACAAAACAATTCATGATCATGGATGCCAGTCTATAAGAATTTCATGACTGAACTTATATTTTGACTATTTAACGCAGTCTAGAGTTATTTACCAGACTCTTCAGAAATTTATAACTGACACGAAAATGTACCTTTCCCTGATAATGGCCCATATATTAAATCAATAATTTTTTTTACGAACAAAAAAGCTAACTTTGTATATCTATTTTTCACTAGTCACCGAGTAGAAGCAATTTACTTTTCATTTTACCATTATCTTTTATCCTGGCTAAGTAAATTTTTTTGTTTTAAAAAATATTAATTGCAATTTAACTTTCGCTAGCATTACAAAAGCTCGGGAGAAAGTGATCAGAAATTATATTCAACAATAGTACAAATTTTGTATTCACAAACAAAATATTGAAGTTCAATCAATTCTATTCTTTCATTGCAGAGTGACATTATTACCTGATTCTTTAGCAATAACTATAAAAAATTATTTATTTTTAACAAAAATATTTCTCGCATTTTTAAGGAAATAAAAGAAAATTTAATTTAAAAAACAATCGGGTGAGAGATATTGATGGAATTTAGCAAACTGATTTCAGTCCCCAGGACTGAACAGTGGCACCCATGTTCATTCAGGGTTCCCACGGGTCAGGGAATTTTATTTTAACTCCAAAAGTCAGGGAAAGTTGCAATTTTCTTACAAAAACCTGGAAAATTCCTTCATTATACCTGGAAAAAAATTGTTAGTAACAATACTCAGTTATTGAGATTAGAGTTAAATAATTCTAACATGTATTACAGTTATTTGTTGAAAAAAATTTACATTTTAGACCTACTGAAATGCTTCCTTCCTCATATAATGATATTTATTTTACACAAAAAATCTAATACTTGGCACAGCAAATAAAAGAATCCAAATTTTCTAGTGAAAAATTTCGTAGTATAGATAAAATATGGTATGGATTTTCATTGAAATTTACCTGGAAAAGTCAGGGAATGTTTTTCTGAAATTGAGTGGGAACCCTGGTTCATGATCTATCAAGTAGTAAGTTCACCAGTTTTGAAATATATCAAAAATAGACTAGTACTAAATGCTATTTTTTCCCAAACAATGTTTCTTGTAAAATTTTTAGAACACTATTTTACACTTTCTGTAAATGCAATGAGATGGGGCATATAATAATTGTCTGCGTAAACAAAGGAATATTAAAAAATAAGTGACAATGAATTATGAAAATTCATAAATTTTTATTTACAAATGATTTAGAAGGTTGTGATTGTAATTTTGTCTATGATTGCACAATTGTATGTGACATAGTTATAGAAGCTACATTCTAAAAGTCTTGCTAAGGAAGCAAAAAATAATTTTCTCACTCCATTATTCACAGGGTTTCTAGACTTTGTTTTACAGGGCATTTCTATTTAGTAACTTGGTGCATAGCATGGGCTAAGTAATCAACATTTCCAGAACAGACACCAGCAACAGATATGCGTCCATCTTTAGTTAAATAAATACTATATTCCTTAGTAAGCTTTTCAACCTGAAACCAAAAACATTATTATTATTTACCCAATTCATAAGAAACCATTTGAAAAAAGAAAGAGTCATACCTGGTCCTGAGTCATTCCAGTATAGCAGAACATTCCTATTTGATCTGTAATATGTTGCCAATTTCTAGTGGACCCTTCCTTCTTTAAACCTTCACGCAATCGTGTTCTCATTCCTATGATACGATCAGCCATTCCTTTTACTTCTCCTAACCTAAAGGAAATTCATGGTCTTTCTAAATTTGTATTTTTCCTTTACATAAAAAAAAGTCGTTGCAAACAAATAATTCTGAGAAAGTTGTTAATTTTAAAATGCTTGTTTTTAACATTTTTAAAATATTAAATATAAAAAAAGAACATGTTTTGAGCAGTAGTACTTTGTATCTGCCAAATCCCAAAAATTAAAGTGGAAATGTGCAAGTCAAGAAAACATTTTTATCATTCGTACAAAAACAAATGATTTAAAGCCTAATTTGTTTGTTTTTTCAACTTTTAGCAATGTAAGATAAGTTTCTTGGTATTATTAAACAATTTATTAGTAGATTTCAAGTCCATAATAACATCTATTAGGATCCAAATGCATCAGCCAAGCACTTTACCGGTTTTTCGAGCCTATCCAGGGGTCTGTCTAGGTTTTTCGGAGAGGTACCTATTTTGTGAATATTTGGACATAATTTGTGAAAAAGTAAAAATTATATTAAAAAAATCAACACAAAAATATGGATTTATCGTTTCTTAAGGGATACAAAAATAAAATTTTAAGAAAAAGTATTTTGTGAAACTACCGTTTTTCCTTAAGTGGAATTTGTGAAGGTACCGCTAAACGGTAGTAAATTTGGCCTGGACAGACCCCCACTATCATTTAACAGCCATGGTAGGAATGACATGTAATTTTGACCCTGGTCAAAAGACATGGTACCCCTTGCTCCTAACTTCCATACCAAAAACAGCGAGAAAACTTTCAGAGACAAGAGATTTAACATGCACTTTGATGCATACAAATGTCAGCTGTCAGGATTGAACTCCTGACCTCCAGCACACTTTAGATTTTATGTTTAATAATGCTACAGCTGGAAACAAATATTCCTAGGTATTTAAATTTTTTCACAGGTTCAAAAAGATATAATCATTGATCTTTAGAAGCAGACTCTGTTTACACAGTTAAAAGATAATATTTGATTTAATAAATGGAGCATAAATAAAATGCAATTTTAGAGTACGTAGCCAAATTATTCAACAAAAAATAAGCACTCAAAAAATATTTTTAAGCAATTTAAAAAAATATCATAATTAGGCAGGGTTGGAAAGTTTTTGACAATTGGAGGTTTTATCTTTTTTTAACAGTCATGTCAAAAAAAAAACTTTTGGCATTGTTTTTGACAATTGTCAAAAAGTATGAAATTTTGAATCATGTAAAACAAATGGCGTTTTCATACGCTACAGACTGACAATACGCCGAAATAGATTGGGGTCGGATTAATTGTGAAAACGTTGAATAGAACAATGTGAACTGTGTCTTTTTGCATAATTCGTAGCAAAAATTAACACTGTAAAGGAAAAATCTCATTTTAAAAAACGGAAAATTAAGCACTTTTTAAAAACGCTACGCATTTTGAATTTAAAAAATATGTACATTTTATGATTTAAAATTTTAATAGTACTAAGTATGTATATGTATTAAATTTGTCTCAGAAAAATTACGCTAATTATACAGTTTTACCTTAATCAAGTTGGGGTTAGGTTTTTTTTTAATTCATTAGTTGCCCTATCTTAAATTTTGTAATGGAAAGTATTAAATGTATCTTTTTGATTTCATTAAACAAATTTATGGGATCTAAAAAAAAAAAGAAAAGAAATCAAATTCCTTTTTACTACTTCTTATGATAGTGTGATCCATTTCATGTAACTGAAAATTTTAGTTAGCAGAATACATTAAAATTAAGGGGGAAAGAAAGTGAAGTTAAGAATGATTTATGTGACTTACCAATGTTTGTTTAATTCTGGATCAGTTAACACTAAGCCAGCTATTCTTGCACCATGAACGGGTGGATTTGAATAAGTAGGCCTGATAAGAATTTTTAATTGTGACATCACTCTTTGAGCTTCTTCTTTGGAATCGCAAACCATGGTGAATGCACCAACTCTTTCACCTGCAATGCAAATAGTTGTACAACTATCACTGTAACCCTTGTAATGCTAACAACAGCAGAGTTTAAAGAAGGCATTTAAAAAGGAAAGAATTCTTTAGAAAGGTCTCTAAATGCCTAAATTTGTACATTACTGAATATAACAGCCGCACAAAGTGTAATGCATAACCTTACTGATGAACTATAATGAAACAGGTAAAAGAGTTTTTAAAACTATTGCTTAAAGTGGATTGTGTTTTTGATGCTACATCAATACAAATTTCTGCAACTTAATTTTTTAGTATTGTCATAATTTACAAAACATGTATTGCTATCTCCAACAATCAGTTTATTGTTGACTCAGTTTTCAGGGAAATACGATATAAATTGCAATTTTCGATAAGTTGCACACAACCAAGATAATTATAAATAACCTATGTTCTACTTTAAATAAGGCTTTGTAGTAGGCAAAAGAAAAAAAAGCCAGGACAACATTTTTTGAACAGTATGCATATTTCAGACTACTTTTAAAAAAGGTATGCAGCCAACTAAGAACAATTATAATTTGAACTACGTGTCATAAAAGAAAATTTTAATGCAATAGAAGAAAAAAAATTTTTTAATTTCAGTAATTACTTTGTTTAGAACAGAAAGTTTTAACAGTTTCCAATATAATTTTTTCAATACTGAACAACTCATAATAGTTTCAAATCAATGCATGGAAAATTTTTGTGGTATTGTTGTAATAAAAAAATAACCACAATGTCAATTACAGTAGACGCCGCTTAATGTAATCACATCGGGACAGACGTGATTTGATAACACAATAACCGATTGATTACAATACAGTAAATGAAAAAAAATGTAAGATAAAAAAAATATTTTTTTACATACGTATTAAAATAAATATTAGGAGTTGTTGCTGTAAAACTCTATAGTATTTAATAGAAAATAATGTACACTAAAGAAAAAGAATTAGTTAGTATACTTACATATTTAATGATGAACTGCAGAAAACAATACAAAAGGTTAATTATTAAATAAAAAAGAAATCGTCGATTGTTTAGCATTCTTTCGAAGCAAGGTATTTACGAATCGCTCATAATCATAATGTTTATGAAAGTGTTCCGCATCGGCTTTGTTTTGCACACCTAGACGTAAGATTCGAAGTGCCTCCCTTATCTGAGCAGGCGTCGGAATTTTGTCCTCGATAGCACTTTCGGGTTCATCATCGGCATCGGAATCTTGTGAAGAAGCTTGATCTTTGACACATACGGCTTCGCAAATGTCCTCATCAGTTAACGAAGTAGAAGTCTCAACCTTCTCGTCGATCTCCATCCATGCTTCAAAATCCTCAGCATTCATATCGGGCGGGGGATTGAAAACGTCTTCCATTTCTTTCATCGCAGCAGCATTGTTGTCCTCTGGTTGACAAAATCCGCCATGACTAAAAAAATTTCGAATTGTTTTTTCCGAGACATTATTCCATGACATTGTTAACAAATGTATGGCATCCAAAACATTTGTTTTTTTGGCTAGTGTTCGCATTAAGATCTTCAGCATCTTGGTCTTCCATATTTTCTAAGATCCTTGAACGCATTTCCTTTCTGTAATATGCCTTCAAGGTGCCCTGGTCACACGGTTGAATTAAAGAAGTGGTGTTTGGTGGTAAGAACACGATATTTATCTTCTTTAATGAAACAGTTACATCATGCGCAGTGCAGTTGTCTATGAGCAGTATGTTCCGTTTTAGTCGCTTGTCCCATTTCAACAGCCATTTGTTAAACATGGTGGTAGTCATCCAAGCCGTTTTGTTGGCAAAAGAATCGACGGGCAGATTTTTCACACCTTTGAAACAGCGGGGCTTATTACTTTTTTCAATCACTAAAAGTTTTTCTTTAGTGCCGGTCATACTAGCGCAACATAGCACAGTTAAGCGTTCCTTGGAGGTTTTACACCTTTGCGTACGTACCCTTGCGTAGGTGTGTTCAGGCAACGCACGAAAATATAGGCCAGTTTCATCAGCGTTATATACATCCTCAAGTGAATATGTGGCAATAAGTTTAGGCCATTCTTCTTTAATCCACTGATCTGTGGCTACATTATCAGCATCTTTTTGTTCACCGTGTGTCCTTCGGAAGAGTATGTTCTGCCTCTTTTTCCAGCGGTGGAACCATCCTTCTGTGGCTGCGAAGTTTCCTTTACCCAATTTTGCAGCTAAATCTTCAGCTTTTTGGCGCAAAATTGGACCATTAACACGAGCGTCCCTTTCACGAATGTTTGTAAACCCGAGTTTTAATGCAGATTCAACCTCTTTGTCTTTTCCATCTCGATTTCTTTTACAATTCAGATTTTCTTTCAAAGTGCACTTTTTTTCGATATCTTCACGATTTTTTAAAATTTTTCACAAAAGCGGCTGCGAAACTTTTAATTGAACAGCAGTATTCCTTTGGCTCATTTTCGGCAATTTATCGTAACGATTTAAACTTTCACAGTACTCTCCGCTTCCTTTCCATTATAAAAAACAAATCAGGTTACGAACCGTATGAACTATGGTAAAGTGAAAATTTATGCTGATCTTCTTCTGCATGCGTCTTTTAAACACTTAGATGTGGCAGTTCCACTATCCCCCCTCCCAATTTTATTGTTTGACCAATAGCAACCTGCCAAGATCAAGTGGCATACCCGAAATAATGTTCTCTTTTGAAGGTCACCCCTTAAACCCTTCCCATAGTAACACATCATCTGTCACATTGTTTAGTTCTTCAAAAAAGGGGTATATATGAGGTAGAAAACAAAACCCCAACTAAACTTAAAATTAAGTTTTACTAAAATTAATTATTAATTGAGCCCCTAATTGAAAAGTTCAAATTTCCAACACTTAACCTCAATCTGTAGAACAAGAGTATTTTGCACATCCATTTTTTTTCCCAACTCGCCTGAACAGCATGGCAGATAGTGTTTATATCATGATTTATACGAAGAATTACTTTAAGTGCAAAATCTTAAGATGTTTTTTTTGTTATTTACTTTTTACAAACTTACAATATCATTTATTATTTGGTTTTAATAACTTACCATATAGACCCATATTCTTTGCAAATGACTGAGCTAAGGCAATACGGTGTCCATCTTCAATAAACATTCTAACAGCTTGAGCATCACGGTCACAGTTACCAGATGCAAATCCTTGATAAGCCATGTCAAAGAAAACCATAAGATTGCGACTCTAGGAAAAAGGAACATAAAAAAATATTAATATGAGCAATTTAGTCAATATCAGCAACTTTTTTAGTACTGATAGTATTTAATTATATTTTTATTATTTAGTATTAATTAGTATTTTATTTTTTAAATACCAAAAATATTTCCAAGATAGACACTTAAAAATTTAATGGACATAGAAAAATTCATATTAAAAATTTTATTTAATATCTGCATTATTAGATAGCATATAAAGAACTACAATTCCCATGTTATAGTTTTTGATTCTAAATATTCTCATATAAAATTTAATGGAGTTGTGTGAATGGAAGATTAAAATTATGATTAAAATTATGATGACCATAAAATGTAATCTATATTATGACCAAAAAATGTAATCTATATTAACAATTCGCATTATTGATAATGAATTCATCGCTACTTACACATCTCTTTAAATCTCACAATTATTTTTGTCATTCTCAATATTGCTAAGAGATGGCACACCTAGGCCCCAATTTCTTCACAATTTTTCGCTGTGAGATTTTCCTCCTTGATTTGAAATTAAAATCATTTTGTATTTTCTGCAATTCTGCTTTCCTTAGTGTTATCGTTGCATGTTAAAATAGTTATGATAGTTTTGTGATAAATGTAATTTTTACGCTCAGATGCCCCTACTGATTGTAAAGCTGTTTTAACAATAAGGTTGGAAAATTATTTCCCAAAATATTTTTTATATAATTTCAGATCTTAAAGCAATAGGGTTAATAAATAAATATGTTATCACAATGTATTCTTTTAAGATAAACTGGTGCATTGCAGGGAGAACTGGAGATCAGTGGATGGGACATCACATATTTCCCCACCAATAGGTCAAATAAAAAACTGCTTGCTGAGAATATTATATTTCATTCTCTAATTTAAGATAGAACATACATTGATTTTCAGCAATAAAAAAATGCTTTTTTTTGGGTCTGAAATTTGAAGCAGGGTAGCCACTGAAAAAAACGAACAAAATATTTGTTTTTAGTAGTCTAAAACATGAAAATAGTTGCCATAAACTATAAAATAGTAGCCAAAATAAGAACAAAAATTCAGCAAAAATAAGACTAAAATTTTATTAAATGACTTAATTGTCATATACTATGATCCATTAAGTCAAGTTGGTGGCAAATATGATAATTTTTAAAAATTGGATTTTTTAAAATCATGCAGAATTTCGTAGCAATAACCGTTGAAAAGGTGATCGAGAAGCGAAATAGACTTACAATAGAATCTGTTCATATTGAACGCATTAAAGAGATGACTTAAATTTGAAATCTAAAATTTTTTATTTCTTAATTATTTTTTTAATTTTTTAAAATTTTATTATTTTTATTTTACATTTTTTAAGAAAAGAAATTCAGTTTGTTCAGAAGATTCCGCGGGTCACAGATTTTCAACCCAATTTATTCTAAAAAACAATGCTAGGAGTACAGAAAAGTCTCCTAATAGTCTCCTTTTCCTGAAAATAGTTGCTTTTTTAACCTTTTCAGGTAAAATAAGTTGCCATAGTCGCCTCATGCTGAAAATAGTTGCATTTTAGTCGCCTGTGGCAACCCTGTTGAAGGGGAAAAAACGGACAGAGAAGCGGTTAAAACAATTTATGAATCAGAGTGAAAAATAACCATAGCAGCAAAATAACTTAACTCGTTGGGCCAAAATTTATCAATCTTGGCTCAACAAGGTTTTAAAGGGCCATAACTTTGCCAATATTGGACCGATATAGAAATGATCAATTCAACCAATATTTTATAGCCACTATTCAGCCAAAGTTTACCCAATACAGAATTGTCCAATTGATCCGATATTTTACAGCACTTATTTCACAAATATCGGCCCTATACAGATTTGTTAAGTTCACCCGATATATTATAGCCATCGTTCAGTCTATGTTGGTTCGATGTAGAAGTGTCCGACTCAACCGATGTTTTATAGCCGTTATTTAACAAGTATAAACCCTACTTAAAATGGTGCGATTTACCCTATATTTCATAACCGTTACTCAATATGGGCCATATATAGAATTGTTTGATGCACCCAATATTTTAATTAATTTCATCCAATTCAGACCCTATTTAAAATTGGCCGATTAACCCGATACTTTTTAGCCATTAAACAAAACCTAAAAGGTCAAATAATCAACGTTTTTCTCTATAATCATACTTAGTTGTTTTCAAATCTCATGGGCCATCAATATAACTCTAATGCTACTTTTACAATAAAAACAAAACATGCCGTACTCTTGGTAACTCTATTCTCTACTATCAGAACTTGTCATTTTGACCAAGATAAATGTTTTATTTAATAACCATCGTTAAACCAAAGATTGTATAAGTGTAAAGATGGGAAACTCGCGAAAGTCGTAACAAAATTTGGCACAATGCCAGCGATTCGTGTACGACGGAGAAGTTTGTCTCCAGGGGCACAATGCAGCGCATGCGCAATATCATCCTTAGTTTTGGAAGGAGAGTTTGGAGAGAGAAGCACATGAGAAATCAATCAATGGCGGACGTTAATTTGACAATTATCCCTAACAAGTAAGTGCGCTTTGTATAACCTATCTTCTGTTGATTTTTTTCTCCTTGTTTTCAATTTTGATNACGACTTCTTGGATATGGACCCAGTGCCCTACCTACCAGGCTATCCTGACCCTTGGATACAGTGTTGGAAGCAATTTGCTTTTGTAGAGGACTTTTTGATGGAACTAACCCGCATTTGCCCACATTGTAGCATTTTCAATATTAGTCCTCAATAGAAATGAATCTTGTTCCAATATTGAAAGTCATTCTAGGACGAATATTGAAAAATCTAGACATCCCAATATTGGCGCATGTTCTTATGGGAGCCATAATTAGCCAATTTTGAACCAAACTGAGGCCAATATAAAATTGTTGCAAAGGAAGTAACCAACCTTCTTTCAAAGTTAAATTGGATTACATAAACAACTTAAATGTTTCAGCAGATTTCAATGAAACATAAATATGGACAGTTTCACTTTTAATCTAAGCAGCATGCATTTCATTCTTATAACTTGTTATACGTATTATTTAGCAGTTACATTTTATAATTACTTACATTTAATGATTATATTAAGTATTAACTAATTACGAGAATTAATTTATTTCACTTATAGGTATGTCATTAAATAATAACCATAAAAGAAGTGAAATAAATTACTTGAATATAGCAGAAGGAAAAAAAATATTTTTTCATGAAGGATAACATTTGCAGTATATATTTTCTAAAAACTATTATTCAGATAACAAAATAAAACTTACCTTAATTACTTTAGACATTTCTTTCCATTGCTCTGGCTGAAAGAAGAAGAAAAAATAATTAATAAATTTCCCCAAAGAATCTGTAATGGAGAATGAAAAGCATTAGGATACCTTAGGATCCACACCAGTTGGATTGTGTGCACAGGCATGAAGGAGTATAACTGAATTTTCAGGAATTTTCTGTAAAATAGATTAAATCAAGTTTTTAATTATCTTTAAAATTTTTATAAAGTGTGTTTCAGGATTCATCAAAGAACAATTATAAAGAATGATACCCTCAGTAACACAATATATCAGGCATGAAAACATGAGAATATTAGTTAAGAAAAAAGACCAGAAAAATTTTAAGAGAAATTTAAAGTTACCAGCATCATTTTATGAATACAAAATTATCATTTCTAGATGTTATCTGGTTATATGATATACCAATACATTAATACACCTAAGGATTAAACTTTAGAGTGCTGTTAATTCCAAGAATTTTAATAAATATCATACAAAAGACTATCTTTAATACCTACAAACCTCTAAAAAAATCTTTTTCATTCATAACAAATTTTTCAGATATTATAAATTTTTATTTTGAATGAGTCTTGCGTAATGAGAAATTTTGTTGAAAGTTTTAAAACAGGTTTTGCAAAATTTTGTTACTAGTTTCCATGTAACATATAAGTAAATAATTTAACTGAAATTTTCAAGTTGCAGTTTTCACATATTTATAAAAATAGAAAACTATGTTAAAAAAACAACTTAGTACCAAATAACACAAATTTTGTTTCATCAGGATAATCATGAGTTCTAAAATGTTAATAGAATAAAGTCATATTTACCGCTATGTCTTGAAGAGCTCCATTAAAATCAAAGCCGCATGTTTTAGGATCATAATATCGATATTGTTTAACAGCTAAACCACATCTCCTATAAAGTAAATTTTTGGATTAATTTGGCTCTTGATAGAGATCATTTAGGAGCAATTGTTGACTTCATGTTTTTAAAATTTATTTTTATCGGAAATTATCAATCTTTACGTCAATACCTCATCTTTATGATTTTTATACAGAGCAGACAAATTGTGGTCCGAACGCTTATATTCCCCATTTAGTACACAAATTTTCACCTTACTCACAAAAAAAAATTTTTTTTAATGAGTCTATTACTTAAAAAACTTTTATTTAACTACAATGCCAGGAGTGATTGTGAGCCCAACTCATAAATCCTGAAAATTTATGGAGTAAAATCATTAATGACGCATTTCAAAAAATTAATGTCCTTATAATTTTAAATCATTGATATTTTCACAACACAAAATTCTAAATAAATTATATGCAGCATAACTTAAATTAATAATTATGTATAAGTTGACTTTTATCTCTAATCACATTTATTATTCTACCAGAAAAAATATTTACAAATGAATGATGCCAAGTATAAATTCTAGTTCTAATATTTTTAAATAAAATATAAAAGAATTTTTACACATAAATGTGATTGATGATTTCTTGAAACTTCTGAACCTTAGGTTTCCGGAAATTTCCGGAGCACAATCATCTCTGCAATGCAGAACAATACATTCAAAAGAAGAACTTTAAGTGTGTTTAAACTCTAGGAGAATTTGAAAAATAAATTGAGCCTAAATCTTTCACTAACTTCCTCAATCATAAATAAATAATATTTTAAAAGTCTTCCGTTAGTTCCAGCTTCTTTCTAATAAGAGAAATACCTTTAAGGAGTTTCAAGGTCCAGTCACTGTAAATGATATAAAGGGAAAGAAAACTTAAAAACATCAGAATTTTTCCATTGATAGAGCTACTTATCAGATGAGATATCACTGTTAAGATGCTATATTTATTGGGACTCAAAATTAACAATGGTCTGTTAGTCTGGAACCACTAAAATTTCACTAGAACCACCAATCATCTATTAGACCAGCAACTAATATAAGGGAAAGATATGTTCTTTCAATTTTAGATTCTTTATTTTGGCCTGTGGTTTTATCACAAAACAGCATAATTCACTATAATTATGAACTTTACATATTCTCTCATTTTTCATTTAAACTCACTTTAATAACTTTTTCAAAAAAATAAAATCTAATCAAACCAAGCAAATGGACTAGTGATAATGTGTAGGACTATTGATAAATTAAAAATATCTTTCAGTTTCTAGTCCTTCGGAGTAAATTCCTCTAAGGAATTCCTCTAAGGAAATGCTCGGAGGAAAATGACTAAATTCCTTTAATTTCCATTACTTCTTATACACAAGCATCCTGTACTTTCAATTTTTTTTCCCCTTGTTGAGAATGGAAAGATAATAGAACAATCACTTCAACTTTTAAATATTCCAAGTAAATTATAAAAAGAATTTAATTTTGATACATCTTTATAATAAAAACACACAAAGAGAAACCTTTTGAATTGATACTAAATTTTCAATTTACACAGTAATAACACGAAAAATAATTGAAAGAAAGAACATATAAGAAGTGGGGGGAAAAATGTATTTCAAACAATTTGGCAAGTAACAAAATGACTTTACCTAAAAAGAGGTATATGGTTCCCCCAAGTAGGAGTTGGCATATAGATTTCTTTGTTACCTTTCAAAAATTCTCCCTGGAAGAAAATATTATACTATCAGTAACCAGCTACAAAGTTGTTACAGACTTCATTAATAATATATCAAACAGAATATAGAGACTATAAAAACCATTAAAATTGGAAAGTAATTTATCAAATAAAATTTTGAATTTCCAAAAGAATATTTGCACTCACCAACAACTAAGATAATGCATATAATGACAAATTGCACAACACAAATAATGCAATAATAAATTGTTGCCGAGTTCTAAGTTGTGGGTTGTGAAAAATTCTGTATTAAAAATATCAAGTTGTAATTTTGAAACAAAGCAATTACTATTAAATTCAACAACAAAAAAAAATTTCTAAAAAAAAAGTATTACCCACAATTAAATGAAACTAAAATATTAAATTTAAGAAACAATATCTAAAAAAATACCAAATTTTGAGAGATTTAATAATAAAAAAGTTTTTGTAAATATTTAATGCATATTAAATGATTATGTGACCAAAATTAGATTTCAATAGTTTACATCAGATATTTAGTTTCTCATTGGTTTTAATTTATTACATGATTTTTCAAAAGAATTTTTTATAAGTACTTTTAGTAGAATTGTATATTTTTAAAAATTTGTTCTGGAAAAATTAAACATTTAAGATTTTGTAAAAATTCGTAGAGTAATACTTCATAGCGAAGCTGTGGTGTTTCAAAAAGGAAAATTTTGCAGCAGTTGGAAAAATCTGACTATCATTGGTTAAAAGTTTTTGACCTTATGAAAATTGTTTACAATTAGTATGTAAAAAAATATTACTCAAATGAATGTTGCAACGTTCATATTATAACTCAACAACAATTTTAATCTATCACATTTGAACAGTTTTAAGTCTGTCTGATAGAAGTATTAAAAAAATACATAAATTTCAAAACCAAATTTATTTAGCCAATTGGAAATGTTATTAAAAAAAGTTATGCAAATTAATTCTATACATCATTTGCAATAGTTTCCCAGTCTCAGAATATTTTTAAAAGTATCGTTTTCTAATAAAGTTGTTTTTTAATTTATGAGATATTGATATTTTGCTCTTCTCTAATTATCCCTTAGCGCAATTTCAATATTTCAAACACATTTTGCAAAGTCTATTTCTGCAATTTTAATGTTATAAAATGAAATGTCATATGAAATAACCATGCATATAGAAATTGAAATTAATATTTACTTAGTAATACGGAGGCTAATCCAAGATTTTCATCTTAATACCCATTTTTGTGAAAAATTTGAACAATATTTTCCTTCTGTGAAAAATTTCAGCTTATAATTTTCAGTGAATAAATCTTCAAAAGTTTGAAAAATAAATAAAATTAAAAAAACATTAATTTTAAAAGAACTATATTCTTTAACAATAAAAACTATACGATATTTGGTTGAAACTCTTTATGACAAATACTTATTAAACATGACACTTACTATTTGCATTTAAGACATACATCAACAATTAATTCAAATTTTTATTCGTAATAACATCTATTTTCAACTAAAAAATTTAATAATATACCAATTATTTCTCAGGCCATAATAGAAAATGGATTAAAAAAATTTCTAAATGGTTATCATGCAGAATTGTTAAATGTTGTGATAATTTCATCTACTTTTCAGGACCATTAAATGAAAATTTAATCCTCTATTTTAAACATACCTAATTCATTATGAAAAACAGACTTTTGACGGAATACATATGAGTACTATTATTCAAACTATATACAGATGTGGGCACGCTTAAGGTTAATATTTTTGTTAAATTTGGGAATTCATCATAGAATAAGCTCTTTTTTTCCATGATATGTGATTTTTAAATTGAATTGCGATGGGATGTGAAATATCGTGAATACAAATCGCAATGTGTGACTTTTTAAACAATGAATATGAATTGTGCTATGGGATTTTAAAATTGTGAGAAGAAAAATAACAATGTATGAATTTTAAATCCTGTGAATATGAATTGCGGTGTGCAAATTTTAAATCCCAATACAAAAGTTAAAAAAATTTACAAAAAAAATAATAAACAGAAAAGACAGACATTCCAGAAAAGAATAAACATACAAAACAATATTCAATTAGAATAAATGATATTTACTTACAATAAATACTGCCCCCACATATAATGACCCAGTACCTGAAATTCCTTGTACAGTAGCATTCTAAAATTAAACACAAAGGAGACAATTATAACTAAGGATAAAAAAGCAAATTTTACACATTATATAATCTGTTAGATAAAATGATCTCTGAAGCTATATTTTACAACCAGGAAGTGTAGTTTTTGAGAACTGAAACTTTCATGTCATGTGACTCTCATCGCATGCATCTTTTCAAGGTCTGAATATTAATTGAATACTAATGTTATATTTAATGTTTTATTACTCATCGTTTTTCAAATTTCACTTTCTCTTTGTGTATCGTCAACTGAGGGAGAAGCTTTTTCCTTCCTCACTGCTTGTAAAAATGTTTTGTCAAAATGCATCATTAAATTTCTATATTGCTTAAAAAGATGATTCTTCAATGATGCTAGCTTAACTCATCCACAAATTAATCAATTTCGAAGAATTTATTTTCAGCCATTCATCGTACTCATCGCCTTTACAAGGTAAGATTTACTACTACCTTTTTCCTATCATAATCAATAGATTAAAAAACACCAAGCAATAATTAAGTAACCTAATGTCTTAAATAATATATTTATTAATAAGAAGGCACATAAAATTCTAATTAGATTCTTGCTAACCCTTAAAGCACAGTAACCTATTCATTAGCTACACATTAATATGTGACTAAAAACCACCAGCCCACACAAACTCCCTGTTTTGCAGTGCAACAAACTCATTACCTTGCAATTAAATATTAACTACTTCAAAGTATAGTTTTCAATCCACAGCATTAGTACTTTAAGTATGAATCATTCTGAATCTAAGACAGTTTTAACATTCACATCCATCTGCAAAAACTCATTTTTTATGTTGGCCTTTACTGCTTTTGGTAGCATTGTTGCAAGTTTGTCAGGGAAAAAAGACATGAAATTCGAGGGAAATTTTGAAAATTATGCAAATTCTAAACACACAAAAAATTACTATATAAATTACGTAAAAGACAAAAATTGCGCAAATAATAAAACAAAAGTGCACACAATACTCAACAAAAGTATTTCTTTTAATTTCAGGTAACATTAATATTTTTGTTCAAATGAACAGAATTTTGGTACAAAGTATTGTACATTGTCAGATTATTCTGATTTATGCTTCGTTATTCATCACTTAATACATTTTTATACTTCGTAAATGATCTTTCTGTGTCCACGCTGCTTGTAGGCACCGATAAACATCGAATTACCACTCTGGCCAATTTTGGATAGCGTTTGGTCTTTGATTTCCAAAACTGGAACAATTTAACATCAACGTGCGATTCCTTGACCGTTGCTTTGCAAGAATTAAATTCACTTATCAATTCTTTGTTTTCCTAAATTATCTGGATATTCTCAAAAACTGAAGAATTGTCCTTTTCATTAAATTTTTATTAAACTTAATATCGATATTGATTGGGATTAAAAACTCAGCATGCTTTAAAAAAGCTTGAGGCTGGCTGGCGAAATCTCTGTTTATCACTGCTGTTTTGAAAAAAATAATTTTGAATTTTTTCTTGACACAGTCTTAGAGCATTTTTGGATTTTAAGAGCTCATAGAGTTTTAGTTTGCTTTCCAATACATTTCAAAAATCAGACATTCGGTTAAAAACAACATGTGAACTAATTCTTTGTTTTTCGAATAAGGTCAATTAATTCAAAATTGATGTTGCATATTTTTCAATTTCTTTCAAATCTGTATTCAAATCTAAATCATGACATTCTTCACAAATTGTGCTCATAACTGGGCTGCTACTATTTTCTTTCTCCATATCAAAAAAGTCAGCATACATATCCAAATAATTTACACAGAATAAACTAGCTTCAAACCAGCTATTCCATCAAGTTTGCACAGAAAGCCATGGCAAAACAGCTTTTTTGCCCAATTTCCATCAAAAAAGCGACCGTGCGTGAAGGACACGCAGTGTATGCGCGCTGGATATGAACTGTAAAGCAATTTGCATTTTTAAATTCAGTTTGCTATATTTCTCCCAAGAGATTTAAAAGACGAGCATTGCAAGTAACATGAACAGAACTTTAAAAAAAAATAGCTTTTAAGCTTTTTCTCCAGGCTTTGTTTATATAAATGCGTTGACAGTTACAAAAGATGTAATAGCATTAAAGCGAAATTTCCAACTTTGGCAACACTGAATAATTGCTTCACTAACAGATTTAAAATTCACACTTTCAAGCGCAATACTTTTAAGAAAAAATGAAGGCAAAGAAAGGTTCGAATCGTTGTTTTGTAATTCTACTGGTGGAACAGCTAATACATCTCTTCAGGGTCTGTTGTTTCATATGTGACAATGCTAACACCAGCGGCAGAAGTTAGAACATCTACAACTAAAATTTTGTGATATTCGTGCATCTTTGGTAGATAGTAGCTTCGCAGGTGACTGGAGCTTGGTATGACACCTATGTGTTTGAGTAAATTTTCAAAATAACTTTTCAATACCATATTAACAAGTTTATGCTACGGAATGTTTGTTGCTGCAAAAACACCAACCAACTTAGAAATCTCCACGGCGCAATGTTGCTAATGAAAAGTTTTTTTTTCAAACAAGGAAGTAATACTTGCTCAGATTACTCTCGGTTCACCTATCTTCCTGTTCTAGAGTCTTCCTCGAGTGAATCCTACTTTTCAAGTGAGTGTTTATCGCAGCTATTTTTCTAGAGAAAGCAACAGGAACATTGCGTGTGCTACAAAATAAAAGGTTTTTTCTAAGTTCAAAAGTTCCTTTATTGAACTGCTGATAGCACCCAAAAGCAGCTGCTTTACTCATATATTTAACTAATCAGCAGGGTTTCAAAAAAAATCTGACTTACTTTAAAAATATAAACTAAACTTATCCTAGAAAGCGTTCTTTCTAACTTTCTTGCTGTCACACAAATGAATGAGAAAAGCAGGAAATATTCGTTTTGTGACAAAGTCACATGTTTCTAAACACACAGGCCTAATTTACAAAATATCAATGTGCTTGGAAAACTCAAACATTCTAAAATCAAACTACTAGTTACAAAAGCCTTCAACTTCTCATCAAAGAAACTGACCCCTATTTAAAAAATCACATGAAAAATTGTCTAGATATGTACTAAGGCAGTAGAAATTCCATTGTCCAGCGCAATAGCCTGTGTAACAATTTTTATGTCAAAGATTTGATTTATAACATTTTCCTTCTTTTATGATTCCAATTTCTTTAGTATTCTAACTGACTTCAGGAAGGTAATCCTAATCAGTCTATTGCCCTCCCCAAATGTAGAAAGACCACCTTATGTGACAAGATTGGGATTATCTCTTATATCTTGTCATTTCTTGTCTATTTTCTTGTCATTTTGCTATTGATTCACTCCCTTAAATGTCTAATTAATTTTACATGTTCAATCTGAGGCTTCAGGAAAGTAAAAAATTCTGTTAAATAAAAATAATAAATTAAAAAATGAAAAAAATTCATAGTTTGCATAAATTAAAACCAATAGAGAAATGTGCGGATTTTAGAAAGGAAAAAAAAAGTGGGCAATTTTGCAAAAATCATTGCGGAAACTTGCGCCGCGACAGACCTGCAGCCCTACTCACAAGTGAACTCTTTAAAGTCCAAATCAGAGGTTTTGATATTGTTCAGAGACTTGAAACTGAGTTACTTCTTAAATAACTAGTAAAAATCTGAGGAATAAAAGTCATGCGAAAATTGGCTGCTGTGTAGCTCTTAAAATGTTTTATGGATAAAGAGGGAATTATCAGGCAGTTTGTTCCCTCAGTAGAAATTCAGCAATGGCATCTCTATATGAAAACTTTGATATTGCTCTAAATTCCATTGCTTTATGTTTTAAGTGCAAATGGGAAAGGTAGAAATTGTGCACAAACTTCTTACTTTAAAGCTGTTTAAAATAATTTACAGACAAAATGCAAAACAGAAAGATTAAAGTTGTGAAAAGAATGGCTTTTTTGAAGTTACACATTCACATACGCTAATTCAACACGTTGCTTGTGCTTTCTTTGAAAAAATTGCTCAAAATCCGTAGAATTAGTATTTTAAGTCTCAATTGCAAATTGTTACGTGGTTTTGCATTATTTGTGCACGTCTATTTGTGTCTTTCTTAAACTTTTCAGGAGGAAGTACAGAACTATAAAACTTGCTTTAAAAAATATTTATTACAACTAAGAATATACACTTCAGCCATAAAATACTAAACAAATAAATGAAGAAAGCCCACTAAACTATTTACTTATTCAGCTTATTACTTAAAATAATTATTCAGCTTGCAGTGATAGATTCTAATCATGTCCAAGTTTTTTTCTTGGGAGTAACAGGCAGTGTGTGACTAATAGTGTATTAAAAAAGGAGTGAAGCTTTCTTTGCTTTTCTTAAAAAAGACATTTTCATATACAATTTTTATAGTAACAATTTAAAGGAAATCATACGAAAATCTTGAATTATCCAAAATACGGCTTGAATTATTCACAATGTTTTTCACATAGACTTCCAGAGAGCAAACAAAATAATTTGAAATAATTAAAATGTACCAGGTTTAACTCTAAAGCAAATGATTTGTTTAATGAAAACTATGTATTATTATTTTAAACATTCACAAATATAACTAAGCAAAGATACATGGATAATCCATACACTTCTAAAATTAAAAAGGTGAAAGGTCTGTAAAAATTGTATCTAAGAAACCATGATTTAGCAAAAACCATTACTGCAAGTAAGGTAACACCAAAAGCACATAAATAATATAACAAAACATTTCTTTACCAGGTTTTCTTTGATCACAACACTACTTTCACCAAAAGCTAGCTTCGCAGACGCATTACAGAAATCTGCAATACCAGCAATACCTGCATACTCTTTGTCTAAGTTCTGTGACAAAAGCTTTTGCTCTGCCTGAAAATCAAAAATATTGATATTTTAGGAAAAAAACAACCTTTTCATCAAACAACTAGAAACAGCTATAATAGATCATAACTTGCCTACTTATGTAAGTCTAAAAAATTAACTATAATAAGAATTTAACATAATTTTTTTTTAATGTAAATTTCAAAAAAAAAAAAAAAAAACATTAGGCCAGTTTTTATGTCACTAAAAAAAATATTAGGCCAGTTCTCATGTCAATAAAATAAACTCAGTTAAGAAATAATTAGGAGAAAGCTGGAGATTATTTTATTTTAAAAGCTTTAGTTTAGGCCAAAAATGATATCTGGAGTTCCTGAGATGAGCTCGATTTTTAAAGAAATCGTGAGAATCAAGCATCTTGAATTTTCAAAGAAAAAGGAGAAACTTCAACATTATTATCTGTACAAGTGAAGTATTGTTTTCAATGCATTTTTTCAAGATAAATCAAATAAGAAAAGAATCAAGTTGATACAGCCAATAGTTAAGAAATAACAAATTAGGTTTTAGAAGGTATAATGCAGTAAAAGTACATTTTTTCCCTTAGTCCCATTTACACTTCTAACATTTCTATAAAGACAAATAAGGCATTATTTATATGTGTTTTTATACAAAATCAAATAAAACCAAGGCAATAGAACTAATAGTTTATAAATCATATTCATATGCGTTTTGTGCATGCCTGATATTATTATCTAAGCCATGTCTTGCTTAATACATATTTCATCATGTTGAATCAAACAAACCAAATTTCAGTTGATAGCACTGATAGTTTTGAAGTTATAAGGGCTTAATGTGTAAATATGTCTATGTCAAAATTTATACTCTTGAAATACAAAACCTTGACAACTTAAAAACTATCACCTATATCTACTTAAATTTGACTCTGTTAAAAAAAAATTAAAAAAATAGTAAAATATAATGCCTTACCTGAAAAGATAGTAATGTAAAACAAGTAAAAAAGGGATACAGGTAAAAAGACAAAAATTTTACTTTTTATCCAATCTTAAAACTTCTAAACTATTAGCCTAATCAACTTGGTTTTGTTTCTACGTAATTTAGTATAAAATACATTGAAAACAATGCCTCACTTTCCTCAAAAGCAGTTTTTTAAAGATTCGCCTCCTTTGTCTCAGTAAATTTAATTAAAAAATTTTCAAGATAACTGTAAAAAAATGACATGAATGTAAATTGACAATTACATTACCTTGTATCAAGGACATATAAAAATTAGTACAAATTAGCCTGATTTAAAATTCTTGAGTTGTAATATCTTTTTGAAATACTACTATGATTTTATAAACTGACAAAAAAAAACTTGTCGTATGAATTTTTGATTGCTTCAAACAGTTTTTTTTTTTCTTTTATAACTTTAAGCCCTTAACTTCAACATCTCTGTTGATTTAAATACGATGTACTTCAAATCCAGAATTTAGTGAAATCCAGATGTAACGAACCCCTGAGTAGTCTAAATTTACAAGGTTGTGCTGCTCTTGTAAAAATTATTAATTGATAAGCAAGAAAAAACTTATAAAATGTTTGTACAACAAATAAACAAATTTCAAAACATAAAAATTAATCTATACTTGATGCAGAAAATTATATCTAAATTATGTTAACATTTTTCAAACATTTCTTCATCTCAGTAGAACACAAAATTAGCATCTCTTATCTAAATATTAAATTAAACTAGAATTTTGCCTGATTCTTGAAATATAATTTATACAAATTCAAGTTATACTCACAGCTTTAACACATTTTAAAACATATGGTTTTCCACTATCATCACGATAAGCTCCAACACCTAAATTAACTTTTTTGGGATTAGTATCTTTTTTGTATGCTTCAGTTATACCCAAAATTGCATCAGGTGGTCCCATTTCAACATGTGACCAAAAAGAGCTAAAAAAAAATAAAATTCATAAACAAAATTCTATAAATATAAAACTAAAATTAAATATCAAAAAAGAAAAAAAAATTAACACAAAGACATTTATTAGCAATATCTAATAAATAACTACAGTAGGGAACCGATTATCCGGAACGATCGGGACCATCCCTATTCCGGATAACTGATTTTTCCGGTTTCCTGAATCACTACAAAAAGCCGTTTTCTTATTGTTAAACCCAACTAAAAAAAATAATAAATGTTTGGAAATAATCTTAAAAAAGAAAAAATTATGAAGTAATACACTAATAATTATTTCCAAAATGATGGTAAGGTAAACATCTTTCAAAAAAGAAAGAAAAATCCTAAAATCTGAAGAGGAAAATAAAAATTATTTTAAAAAAATTTGCGGGAAAATTTATCGAATTTCGTTCCGGTTTTTTGGTTTTCCGATTTCCAGATAACGGGTTCTGTACTGTACATATTTTGCACAAATTACTTTCAATTATTTTCAAAAATATTAGGACCTTCAAATTAACTCTCATTAATAAGAAAATCTACTTACAACGTAGTGCAACAGAAATCCTTAGTAGATTTAAATAGAATATAATTCTGGTAAAAATAACCACTTTGAAGAAAAATTTACTGAAAGATAAGAAGTTCTCTATTTTTTTCAAATATACACTAATAGATTTGTAACATGGTAACAGCAAGTACACAGAAACTTATGGGAGCACTTAACTTCATCATCTTTCAGTTCTCTATTATAATAAATTCTTTTAAAGCTTATTTTACATTTAGCATAACACCTTTTACATTACCTCCTTCCCTTACTTGTTTTTCATTGGAACAGGCATCCTTGGTCTATTATGTTTTAATGTTTTCCTCACTAAACTTAGCATATTTAGGACCCAAAAAAATACACCCACATTATCATAATTTTGTTTAGCTAAGACTTAAATATGTTTTTTTTTAATACATTATTGTTGATTTGACAGTTTTTATTTGAAGCAGCATTGAATACCATTTCCTTTCGTATTTAATGTGAAATTTTACACAGCTTTGCATTGTTTCTGTTTCTTGCTTGCTATTTAAGTTTCACAATGCACATTCAAAAATGTACCTACAAATCACAATATTGCTATAGGGTAGAAAAAAAGCTTAGAGTTATCGTCAACATAGTTATGGTAACCTATATGAAAAATTTCGTTATTATCTTCAATTCTTTATCACATATTAAAACAAAAATTCCATATTTAACCTAAGCAGTCATTAAAAAATTGCAAGTTGGTGCGAAAACAAAACTCTTAAAAAAACACATGCAAAAGAGTTAGTCATTAAATACAAAGATATTTAGGGTATATTTCCTTATCGTGATCTGTCGCGCAAACTACAATAACCAAGGTGCCAAATAGATTTTAAACTTGCAAATTTTTTTAAAAAAATTATGTAGATGTTTGCAAGGGGTGGCTACGAGTTATACCTTTCGAGTTCGTCCTTTTCTGTGATGTTTTTTTTTGTTTTTGTTTTTTGCAGGCCACGGCCCGGAAGTTATGAAGACTTGGCGATTATTCTGCTGCAGATCAAGATACGAAAATCTCCCGATATTTAAACCAAATCCATCAATGAGGGACAAATGATTGATATACCTACCTAGCTCAGCTAAAAATACTATTACAGCTTCGATACTTAAAATTCATTTACTTTAATACGTTATTTCAACCGAAACTTCGTATTTACTCTTAACAGCAATTTATATACAATATAATAATAATTCTATCAAAATCCATTTTTATTTAGTTTAAATTTATTTCCCTATATAATAAACTTATTTCTTTGAAAAAATGCCATGATATCTTTTGCTGTTAATCAAATAGTGATTTTGATTTAAATCTTGCATTCTTTATAATCATTAATTGAATAAAATTAAAAATTTAATTAACTAATTTCATTTTTAAAGACTTTTTTTACATACAGTAAAAAAATTTAAAAAATATAAATTTTAAGCAACTTTTACTGAACAACAAATCAAATATCTCAATTCAAATACCAATTAATAAAGTAAATAAACAAATATATTTTAATATGTAACACATTGTTATAACATTCATGTAATTTTAATAAATTTATGATAACCAAACAGTACCTTTGTCTGCTGAAGAGATTAGCTGCAAGTGGTGCATATTTAATTAAATTCGAGCCCAAAATAGGAGCTTTAACACATATAGCCATGACTTTGTTATTTGTTAATTAACTTTAAACTTTTAAAATCTACACCTCCGGTTGCAAGAAGGTCACCACAGGGCTGAAAGAACGGCAAGTCATTTGCGTAAGCAAGTACTCGCTTATAGCTCTGTATTTTCTACATGGCCAACCGCTCAGATTTTAAATTTCACAGGTGCGCATGCAATGAAATCGTGAAGTCTGTATGTAGCCTTGCAAATATGTATAAATTTGATCACGTCTCTTATATATTTTAAAATCAATCTCTCATAACTGAATAATGATCTTTTCACAACAGCTCTCATTGTCAACATGATCATTTCTAAAATGGTAGGTAGTCACTTTATTTACGTCGCACTAGGCTCATAGGCGACAATCTGGGAAACATCCCTGAGGATGATCTGAAGACTTGCCATAACAATTTTGATCCTCTACAGAGGGGATGGCTCCCCTGCTTTGGTAGTCCGACAACCTGCGCGTGAAGTCGAGCACTTCACGGAAGAACAGTTTAGCGAGGTCCGATACCGCCCCACCCGCGATATGGCGTGTAGGTGGGCAACCACCAGGCAACGTGTGATTATTTTATAATATGACGTGTCGAAGTTAACTATTATTGGTGATCGAAATAGGTGGCATAAAGCGGAACTCTCTACCTATCCCAAGTAGCACCCAATATTAGATAACATCAGAAAATCTGCAAAATCTAACGTTATCTTGCACAACTTCTAATATTAGAAAGATAAAAGAGGTCGCTGTTTGCTCAGCCTTATATAATATTAGATTCTATGCAAACTAAATTTTATCTAGCGTTCGCCATAATGCTATTTTGCATTAGTTTTGATACTATCTAATATTAGATTTTGTATTTTCTCATATTATTTTGCTTTGCTTTTTATTTTTTTGGAGTAAGCAAGAGGAAGATATGGATAGTAGTAGACTAATTCGGCGATATAATTTTACTTAATTTTCTGTATTGTTGTGAAGCAATAAAACATAGAACAATAGTTTTATGTCATTCCATGCATTATTTACTTAGCAATACTGAAATACTAAATAAAATTATATTAGTGAATTCTGCTACCTTCCATTTTTCTCCTCCTTACTCCAAAGTATATCCTATGTACAGCTGATTTTTTTGACTATTTCAAACTTAATTAGAAAATAATATTTTATTGCAACTCTTATTGATATTTTTTTCTTTTATTCATACAATGGGTTTTCTGACAAATTTTATATCATTAATAATCTTCAAGTCTTTAATTTTAAAATGTACTCTTAATTTTTTTAAAAAAAAACTGGGCTTATTTTATCAAAATCTCAATTTAATTTGTTAGTTCGTAATACCGTAAAACGGGGCGAGTCTACCCATTTTTTCAGTTTGTCAACTTTCAAGTGGTCAAAATTTTGTAAATATTAAAGAAAANTAACTTAAGCCATTTGTAATTTCACAATTATCATTCATTATTCATATTCTGAAATTATATAATAAAAACCACACTATATAAATATAAAGTTATGTATTTGCATTTGAACTAAGCGGAAATTTTTAACTTAACATCCCTCCCCCTTATAATTCTAAAATAAAATTGTTCAATTTTAAAGTTGTCATTTTTTGCAATAATTGACACAATAAAGAACATAATTTAAATATATTCAAATTACTTATTTCAATAGATTTACATATTTTTTCTTCCACTGAAATTAAACGGAGAAATACTTACGTAACTTTATTCTTTTAGTATTTGAAATTTTATTTAGCAAAACACCTAAAAACAAAACTCAAACGCAAAGTAGAAATTTTTCCAGGGAATGAAACCAGGAAAGCAACTAATATCATGAAAATTGCTAATATTTTTTTATAATGTTAAAATAACTTTTATGGGCACATCAGAAATTTTCATCAATTCGATAATTATTTAAATGTGTTATGTTCTATTAAACTAACAATCTTTGCAAAAAATTTACATAACATTTTTATTTCAAAACTGTCAGTAAATATTATAATAAATATTATAAATATATTAAATCAGTAATGTAAATAAATGTTCTGCTAAATTTTAAATATTAAGCCAAAGAAATTTTTACTATTATCATTATTTTACAATTGCATTATTTTAAACATCATAAATATATATCTATACACTTCTTATCTCAAATTTGAGCTGAATAATTCAAAATTGAAGTAATAAATACAATGCTAGTAGTATAAGTAGTAGCTCATAAGTTAGAGTTAATGTTTAACAATGTTGTTAAAATAAAATTGCTTCCGATATCTTCAAGATTTCTTGAATTTTCATGATACTTGAACATAACTATAATGACTATAAAAAATTTATAGCGTATCTTAAGTTTTTTTAATGAACACATACTTGCCAACCCCATTTTCTAAAATTCCGAAGATTTTTTATCAAGTTGTTGTATTAATTACACAATGCAATAGTTAAGAATAAAAAAATTAATAAAATCAAAAAATGACAAACATTATTTCATTACTTAATTATTTTATTTTAAAACAAAACACAATATAAATATAACTTCACTCAACTATAAAAGCAATGCATCCTTACCGTCATTGTTTAATATAAGCTTATCGATATTCTTTAGTTAAAATATAAGTTAAGAACACGTATTTGTAATTAAATAAAATAATTTTTTTTTCAAAAAGCAACAGTAGGACTATGAGTTATAATTTTAATTATTTTTATTCTTAAAAAAGAATCCAAAACTTACAGTCATTTCATACAGTTTAAAGTTTTTCTTCAATTCATTTTTTTGTTTTTGCGCAACTGAACTATATTTCAGAGCAATAAACTGAAAATCTCTGCTTTATTGAAAGATTTTATAAAATGGTCAGCAACATTTGTGCATATCACACAAACACACAGTAGGAATGAATTTCACAAGGTTGCACCTTCTTCAAACTTTCAGCTCCGGCAGATTTAAAGAGAACCTCCAGTCATTTTGTATTCTGTCAGGATTGAACATAGGGCTCCCAGTTTTCTACCAGAATGTTAATTTCCATTTGCATTGTACAGCACCCAATCTCAAAACTGAATTGCTCCTTCCTGGTAGATAAGCTTGCTTATCCAGCAGACGAAGCTAAAAATATGAGAGAAAAAAGTTAAATTTTACTTTGAAAACGCTAAATTTAAAACTCTACATTGCTTTACAATGAAAACATTAAATTAGCTAAAGTAAATTTAAAGCTATTAAGCATTGAATATTTCTTTAAAACTTAAATCATTTCATTTGAAAATGTTTGCAATTTAATGGGTAGATTTCCGTAACAATATGTGCACCAAAAAATCTCAGTATCACCGAGCAAGAATAGAAAAATATTTCACTTATAACGGCTTTCAAATAATAATTTTATTCTTTCTTAATTATTATGATTTTTTTAAAAAAAAGAAGAAATTATAGTTCAAAACGCTTAAGCCCTTTTCAATTGAAGTGAATATTCAAGTATATGTACAGATACAAAAATACATCAAATTCAATACTTTTTAATTTTTTTTAAAGATTATAAAGTACAATAACACTTAACTATTGAAATATTTTTGTACATTGTATAAGCTCATAGAGCCAATAGGAAATGGTAACATCTTTTTTAAAAACTTCATAAATAAAAATTTTAACACCTTTAAAGCACTGTTCTTCATTTAACATAAACACACTTTGAACACCATATTTGCTTATTTTTCAAATATTTGCTATCATTTATAAACTAATATAATTAATCATATATCAAAAACATCTGTCTATATTCATGAAATGAAAATAAAGATATTTAACTCATCATTTTACAATATATTAAACTGGAAATTCAAATAATGTAACAACAGTGTTCGTCTTGTGAATAAAGTTTCAAACATTCTAAAATGCAATGGTTTTAACTAAAAAGTAGTTGATTAATTAATAATTATTTTAACATGGCAAACTTGTTTAGTAAAAATTTATTTTTATCTTTATCATTGCAATGAAAAAGAAATTCAAATTGCAAAACTCTTTGTGACAAGCTAACAAAAAAAGTGGCGAAAAGTGTTAAATAAGCAATTGCTTATTTTCTTTCTTTGCTTATTTTAAAATTCGATTAATGTAAAAGAACTTCAATGTAAAAAGATACTATGAGAATTCAAAATCATCAATTCATGGTTGAAAAAATTATGCAAAAAGGAGAATTCTCTAACAATTCACATAATCAAAGTTGTAAATATATATTAAATATAGTTCGCCCCCTCCCCCAAATATTTTGACATAGCGTTCTTTAAAAGTCAGTATGCATACCCAACATTTGTCAAATATTTTCTTTCTTATAGTCTAACTGAATTTTTGCAGCATTAGATTATTTCTAATAGGAATTTATTTAAAATATATAATGTAATCAAATCTCTACATTCACCATAATCACCATTTTGAATCGACCATATTATTGATTATTTTTTAATCATTTACAAATTAATATAAATATGATGCATCAAAAACATACATATCAGTCTATATTCAAATAAAAATCAGTCTATATTTAAATAAAAAATTTTAATTCATTGTTGTACAATATTTTAAACATGAAATTTAAATATATGTTAAAATTTCTTGAAGATGAAGAGCTATATTTGAAATTGTAAAAGAAAATTAAATTTGCAGCGGAAAAATCAAATTTAAAATAAATTAAACAATGAATATTTATTTTAAACTTATAATACTTAATTTGAAAATGTTTCTATAAAATTTTAATATCTTTCACAATGAAATTCAATTAGTAAATTGCGGTATCAATACTTGCATCAAAAAATCTTGGTAGAGCCACACGAAAAGCAAAAAGTAACATAGTGGGAGGGAGATTAACAAAAGAGTTTAGTTCATAAACACTCTCAAGCAAACTATAATATGTTTTAAAAAAAAAAAATTCTAACTGCAAAACTCTTTAACCCCTTTTATTAGACCTGAAAATAAATACTCACTATGTGGCAAGCTATCAACAAAAAAAGTGTGAGATAAACAATTGCTTACTTTCGTCCATTGCTTATTTTAAAAATAGTAGATTTCCTCGAAGATGAAAAGCTATACTGAAATTTAAAAAGAAAAGAAATTAGATTTTGAAATGAAAAAAAAAATGTAAAACTATTTAACATTGAATATTTATTTGAAACTTTAATTATTTAATTTGAAAATGATTTTCAGAAATTGAAATATCCTTTACAACGAAATTAAATGGTAAATTCCGGTATCGATACCAGCGTAAAAAAAAATTTCGTTAGTGTCACACAAAAAATAACACAGTGGGAAGGAGATCAACTAAAAGAATTTAACTCATAAGCACTCGTAAGTAAACTATCATATATTTAAAAAAAAAAATCTAATTGCAAAACCTTTCAACTTCTTTTATTAGACCAGAAAATAACTACTCGCTATGTGGCAAATCAGCAAAAAGAGTGCCGAAAAATATTAAATAAACAAATGCTGATTTTAAAAATCGTATAAGTACATCAATATAAAAAGATACTATAAGAATTCAAATTCATCAATTTATGGTTGAAAAAACCATGTAGGAGAATTCTTTAACAATTCACATATTTCAAAGTTGTAATATATATATNTTTACATTAATCTCTCTGAAATATCGAGTAACACATCTATAGTCATCTTCACACGATAAATTTAGTTTCAAAGTATCCCCGAATACTTTTCCTGTAAATCCATTAATATGGATTTCTCTCAGTATCTTACTTATCGTTGTCCAGGTTTGACTGCTATCATTAATTATTATCGGAGGGACTTTCCGTTTTTTGTTCTTTTGGAGTTGGAAATTTCTTTCCAACTCCATATCTTCCAAATCACTTTCTGAGGCCTCTTCCTCACCTTCCATTTCTTTCTCTACCACTTCCACAACCTCTTTTTCTACTACTTTAGGTTTCTTTGTCTGATTACTGTTTTTGTCATCGCTATCAGACGATACCGTGTTTACTTTCTTATCATCACCATTCATGCCAACTTTTCTGCTATTGTTAGCCTTTTTCCTCTTTTTAGAGGCAACGTTTGCGTAGGTTTGTTTTACATTAGCCGTCGATTCTTTGATCGGCTCTGTCACTTTCTCTTTTAGAGTAGGAGTGGGCATCTCCTCTCTCTGAGTCAACGCTTTTTGCAAATGTCTATTCTCTTGTCTCAACTTTTCATTCTCTGCCGTGAGATTATCAATCTTACGATTTAACTCAGCCATTACTTCTCTCAACCCTTTCAACTCTTCTACCATACTAGCCAGTGCCCCATCACTGCTACTTTTAACTACACTCACGTTACCCTCACTCATTGGAGGTAACCAGCCGTTCTTGATAGCCTCTAAATATTGCCTAACGCTCTCTCCGTTCATCGTATTTGCCCCTGATGCGTGAACCGCTACGTCTAGACCGGGTACCGCCGCGAAGCCCGGCGGCAAGCCACCGCTGCTTCCGACGCACTCGCCGGCCACTCCTCCGCTACCACTCTCGCTACTTCTCCTCTCCATCTCAAAAATGAGATCCTTGATTATATTTACCACTGGGGCTCCAAAATCTTCTCAGTAACTGCACGTCTGCTTCAACAACGCAGGATCGCTTCTCGCGGAGCCTGTATAATAACAGAAAACCGCTACGGGATCGCTTCTTGTGAGAGCTCGGTTATAGACGGGTATGATTGGCTAAAAATGATATTTTTGAACTAATTACAGAACTTATAATTTATAGCTAGACAATAAGTTAACAGAAAAGTCAACTACTACGTGCGAACAATAATGATTACAATTCATAATATTAACTGACTTTATTAGATACATGATTCTTAACTAAGGAAAAAACATTACTTACAATATTTCTTTAACGTTTCATGTAACTATCATTGAAATTTATAAAGTTTCCAAATAATTACTAAATTATAAATACCTTGTGTAATTGAAATGAAAGCTGCCAAGCTCGAGCAATATGGCGTCGTAAGCAAAACGTGAAGAAGTTGCATACAACTCAACAGTTGAAAAAGTTTTTTGAGTTCAATCGTTCGCAAACTACCACTAATATTATTTTTTGCTTTCTTTGCATTGGCTAAAAATGATATTTTAAGTAATATTTAGTTTATTGTTTTCTTTCATAAATAAATGTTTATTTATTAATAATATGGGATAATCTTTCGCAAAAATGTGGCACTGTACCAAAAGTAATGAAATAGATGATTATTTCAAAAGTTCGAATGTTAGATCGAATACTATATAATCTTATATCATATTAGAAGATAGGATTTATGAGTCTTTGCGTTTTCTAGCACGGCAGTATTATATTGCATCTTTCCAATATTAGATCCTATCTTTTAGCTAACTGGGAAACTATATGGAACTGAAAAAACTACATTAAACATAGTTTTAAAAGAGAGCGTTATGGAAATTTTAAAAAAATGTATTCAACTAATTACGAAAAATATTAAAGGGTCAAAGGCATGGAACCGATCTTCTCCCAAATTGGCGTATTCGAGCACTGCTATCGCCTGAAAACTTACCTTATAGCCCACTTTCATGCTTTTTATTTTGAATGATGTGCCCTATCGATTAAGCATAATTGTTATAACATTGACTACCTCTATTTTGATCTATTTTTTTACTATCATTTTTTTTTCTTTCATTCTTCTTCAAAGTCGAAGGACGGCATCTTCCGTTTTCAATGCAAACATTTGCCTCAATATTCGTAGCCAGGAAGGAGGTTTTAATCGTTATTTTATGTAACGGATCCCGTTTGTTCTACTTTGTGAGGATAAAAGTCTCAGTCCCTAACACGGATGTGTGTATTCTTTTGATGAATGGAGTGAAGAATAAGACTTTTATTTATGTTTTGGCTATAAAGTCAGATAGCAAATAACTATTCACGGCAAAACTTTAAAAAATCAAGCCATATATGTCATTACGCTGTCTCCAAACTTTCAAATTTACAATGATGACGTAGAGAAATTATTTCTGCCTCTTTCAGGATAGCCAAATAGCCCACTTTTAGGCTTTTTATTTTGAATGACTTGACGTGCCTTATCGATTAAGTATAAATTTTTGTTATAACATTGACTACTTCTATTTTGATCTACCATTTTTACTTTCATTTTTTTTTCTTTTCATTTTCTTATATTTTCTCTTGGTTGATATGGTTTTAACAAGTTCGTGTAAGAATCAAAGACTTAAAACTGTTGTTTCACTTCAATTACTGAAATTAAGAATTCGGAAATAATAAGTCGCATATTTAGAAAGAAATACAGCAGCACAATTTAAACCAAACTAGATATACTAAAAAAGTTGATAAATTTTCGTTTATATCAAATCCTCTCATTTTTTTTCAAGACGACTTGCAATTTTCACGTACTGTCTTAGTTGAGTGATAATTATCACTTTATCCATATGAAAATTGGGGTTACTTTTTAACCTCTCCAGTCACAAACAGCCAAGGAGTGTCAAAACTACTAGTATGCGATAGTAAATAAGAAGAAAAGAAAGAAAAACCATCGATTTAGGGTATGGGGGGCTTAGATTTAACGTATTTGGACTACAAAAAGTGAACCCAACTCATCTCTAGTAACTGCCACGTTTGCTCACAATAGTGCTCCAGACAGGGCAAAAAACATCGTATTTAATTACATGTAAAAATTACAATAAGAACCAAAGAACTATGATATTAAAAATTCATTCTAAATTATTTTGTAAAAAATTTTATAATATGAATTGTTATAATTTACTGTATGGAGGCAAAGTACGACTGTTATCATTTCCCTTTCTTTCTCAAACAAATTCTGTTCCGACAGAAACATTTTTTCTTCTCCCCCCCCCCTGCTAGAGAAGAAAGTAATTCAGTAATGAATGTGATTTTCTGGCACTGGCGACAGTCAGTAAACGAGTGGGTGACCACTTTGATCACCCACCGTAAGACCGACTGTGCGCGATTGCGCAGGTCGTCGAACTACAAAAACGGAGGAGCTATTCCCTCTGCAGAAGATCAAAATTAGGATGGCATGTCTTCGGATCATCCTCAGGGATGTATACCATACTGTCTCCTATAGCCTCTTGTGCAACCCTAGTGCCTTCCCACCTAATTTTCTGAAGCCATGGAAATAAACTTAAGAACTGTAAAAAGATAGAATTTATGTATTGGCTTTAATAGAATTAATAATGTTCTTTTAAAAATAAGCAAGAATGCTCTTAACCCATTTACATAAGTCTTTATTTTGTAATTAAGGTTTGTAGTACATTATGAGGAACATGTAATTCCCTGTTTGATTAAGTCTGCCGCTTTCTCTGCAACCATCATTGTAGGGACATTAGTATTTCCGCTGGGTACTGACGGCATCACTGAAGCATCCACGACTCTCAAATTTTTTATCGTCTTCACTCTGAATAACAAAATATGAATGCATACATAAATAAAATTAAGAAATAAAACAGATCAATACAAATGTAAATTAAAAAAAAAAAAAAGATGTCGCAACTACGAGAGACACTTCTTTACTCAATTTNAAATTTAAAAAAAAAAAAAAGGCAAGGGTGACTTATTTGAAGGTAAACAATTTTTTAATTATATATTTATTTAAACTATTTAACTAATAACAAACTTTAAAATTTAAGAAAGAAAAAGATTTTTAAAGTTAAAGATTCAAACCAAAATTATATTATCATACGTACGATATAAGAAAAGAAATTTGAATAAAATAAAATTTAAAATATTTTATAACTCCAATACATAAATACAAAGGAATACTCTAAATTCAAAATTATTCTTTCAATTTGTAGATTGTAGTATATCACGCTGATTTATTTTAATTTATCATTTTTGTTGTTGTTTTCTTAATGCTAATTTTTTTCCAAAAAAAAAAAAACGAAAAAAAAAAAAAATCAGTTTGCTAATAAAATTATTAATTGCTACAGTTTTATAAAATTTGTTATTATGTAAGAATATTTCTTTTATATTTAAATCGTAACAAAATAAACAATTATCTAGATTTAAGAGCTAATCAACTACAATTAAAAAAAACTTTAAAAAATTTTAATACATGAATGAAGAATTTAAAAAAAAAAGAGATAAATATAAAATAATTTTTTAAGAAATTACATTGAACAAATTGGTTAATTAGCATTTAAATTCATAATTTTCTTTCACTTTCAGCGATCTTTAGTGCATCAAATATCAATTCTTATTCCAACATTTCTAACTTAAAAAGATATCTAACTCATACTTTATTGTTGATCAAGTTTCTAGTCTAGCCTAAACGAGGCTTATTAAATCAGGGTTCTTCTTCAGCCCACGGCCCACGAGTCGGCGAAAATCAGGAAGAATTTAAGCTATAATGCACAAAAAAAAACTAGAATATGCTTATAAACTGTTAATCTTATATCATTTTTTTTTTCTCAATTATATTGATACAATAATTGAGTAATAGTTCACTACACAAATAATTCATACACAAAATACTTTATTACTGAAGTCTATTGATTCCAAAAAACTTTACGAACTCGAGGAAAACTCCATGTCTAAGCATAAAGATGACGTTTGTTTAACTGTTTCTACCTCATCACTCAGTCGGATTCTGCGTTTTACAAACATTAGGAAAGGGACGCGGTGGCTCAGGGGATAGAGCATTTGCCTCTCAATGAGGCAACACAGGTTCAAATCCGAGAGGTGGTTGGTGAATACGAATTCTGCTCCCGGCTTGCACAGAACATAGTGCTGAGATGAAATATCCTCAATAGTATAGTCGGCAAGATCATGGATCTTGCCTACTGGCTGAACATATGAGGTTTTCCTCTCCATGTAACGCAAATGAGGAGCAGTTTCATCAAAAAAGTGCTCCGGCTAGTTTGTCCCAATTATTGATCCAGAGGGTCTCTTGTCATCTGGATTGAGCTCAAAGTTACAAGGTCACAGAGTTGAACATTGATAAGCATAAACTCAGAATTGTGTCGGTTGTTAAACTCTGGTTATAAAATAAAATTTAAAAAAAATAATAAGGTGCATGCTTACTTACTCACAAATTAAATGGTTTGATTATCCTATCTTCTGTCAGTTATTGTCAATTACCACCCAAAAGTGAGGTAACTTACATTGTTTCTCTTTATTTCATATTTGCATGCAATTTTGGAACAAATTTAACCAAAGGGAGTGTTTTTAAGCTTTTTGACCGGAATAACATTTCCACGAACAGATACTTTTTTTCTAATAACTTCAATAAACTAACCATTTATCCCGTAAAACGCAGAATTTCATTAAACGAAACTTTTGATATCGATGAAGTATATATTTGATTATAGTAGCAAAAATTTTTGAGAGTTACCGAAGTTGAGGATCTAACACTGTTGAAGGATCTCGTGGATTTCCCATTTTTACTGTTCCTGTTTGGTGACTTAGGGTTATAACCATAGATCTTGCAATGCATCTGAAGTGTTTGTCGTCATCACTCACAAACTTTTCGCATCCCGGAAAAGCAGTTGCGAACATCTTCGAACCTATTTTCTTTAATGCTTGACTTGAACCAAACTGTTTACATTTCTTGAGACCTAAAATTTTATAATTCTTTGCTAACTTTTTTACTAAATGCATTTATAACTTTTCTATTATTCATCAATTTATTATGAATTGGTCAACAAACTTCTGGTGAACAAGATATAAAGCCTTGCATAACCTAGATTCCAGACGTTTCCAGGGCTTTAGAACACGAGTTCCCTGACAGAAAGCATTCATTTATCATCGATTACTGAACCATAGTTAATTTCACTATTTTGTTACTAATGAAGACCATATTTTAGTGAATTTAGGAAAATGTGCTTTAGAATGCAAAGTAAAACCTGGAACCTATTCAAGAAACATTTTTCTTTTTTTGTTTGTTTTGAGAACCACTTTCAATAAGAAACTACTTTTTATTGAAAATTATATCTTTCTATAAACTTGTAAAAATCGGTTCAACATTGAACCATAATATCGGTATTTTCGCCATAATATGGTGCGAGTTAAGTACAACCTTAATAAGGTGATGTTAAATTGAACTATGTTTCTACCAAAGTAGAACCATAGTATCATCTAATCAAATTTAAGAAGTATGACTATATTGTTAAACTTTGCACCCTATTAAGTTTTCAGTATATTTGAAGAAGAAAAAATGGTTCACTATGTTTCTAAGCTATTAAGAGTGTATTGAAAACTGACATAGTTGCCAACCCATTATTGTAGCCGATCAAAATATTCAAAGTAACAATTTAGGTTAAGCTTTCATTTTTGTTTTTACCTGCACCTTGAAAATATCCCCCCATTCATATCAAATCTTTCCATTTTTTAAAATGTTTTTTGTATCAGGGTGGTTAAAAACACTTTAAATTAATCAATCAATAAAAATTTTTTAAATCATTAACGTTGCCGGGATGATAATTTACAATCCAACGGTCTTTACGACTCGCTCTCTTTTTTTTGTAGAGTTTCCTCTAAGTCTTTTCATCGCAATTATAATGCAATCTCTTATTTCATTAAAAATTTGTTACTTAAATTTGAAAAAATTAAAAAATCTTGTTTTTTTTATTTATTTAAAAAATGCCAACAAGGAGAGCGCGTTGTTAAGAACAACTGGATTGGAAAAGCACTGCCGAGATTTAAAAAATGTGAGACAAACCTCCCGCCAAATGTTGAAAACTGTATATTATGCTGTTGTCGTCTTGTCTATTCAGTGCTCAATATGAGCTTAATATAAAACGTGGAAATAGATCGTGGATTCATTCAGCCATATCTGTATATATATTTCTCTTACACGGCGACAAAAAAAAGCCTCATTACAACTCCCCGAATGGCAACGCTAGAAAATCAATCAATGATTGCCGCTAAAAATGTCACGTACCAAATCTAGCTGAGATGGCTCAACATATAGCGCTTTTAAAAACGGAAACGGAAATAACCAGAGAGAGCATAAGCTAGGCAGAAGTGAGTAGTCTTTGTCGATAGATCTCTATTTTAGTATTTTGTCGAAAGCGCTTTTTTTCACGAATTTGTATATTACGAATTTATTTGACGATTTTTTATTTATATCACGAATTTATTTGTTTTACTAGAATTTATTTGTTTATGCAGGTTTTTCCATTGGAATTCACTTATTTCAATTTTTAATAGACTTAATTACAGCTAAAATTTTAACCTTTTTAAAGAGACATCAGTTTTAGAAATTTTATCTTAAGATTTTATACTATAGCACATTTCTAATAGGTTTAACGAATTACATGTCATTTATTTGAATTCAAATTTATTTCAATGACTTAGTATTCACTAAAAAGATGTAATTTTTTTTTTTTAAATAAGTTGTTATATGGATTTGAATGATTGTTTTGAATTCTTAGTGGACATAAACGCCACAA